GACTCCTTGCAATGACTCCTTGCAATGACTCCTTGCAATGACTCCTTGCAATGACTCCTTGCAATGACTCCTTGCAATGACTCCTTGCAATGACTTTCATGATGATGATTCCTTGCAATGATTCCTTGCAATGACTCTTTGCAAGGACTTTCATGATGCTGATTCCTTGCAATGACACCTTGTAATGACTCTCATGAGAACAACTCAAGTGAACCCAGCGGAAGAACCCTTCGCCATGCTTTCGGGAAAACGCACACATGACATTGCATGATTCAGCGTCACGTTGCATGACACACACACACATACATACATACATACATACATACATACATACATACATACATACATACATACATACATACACACATACAGACATACATACATACATTACATACATACATACATACATACATACATTACATACATACATGACATTACATTACATTACACTACATTCATACATTACATACATACATTACATACATACATGCATACATACATTACATTACATTACATTACATTACATTACATTACATACATACATGCATGCATTACATTCATACATACATTACAGTACATACATACATACATACATACATACATACATACATACATACATACATACATACATACATACATACATACATTACATACATACATACATACATACATACATACATACATACATACATACATACATACATACATACATACATACATACATACATACATACATACATACATACATACATACATACATACATACATTACATACATACATACATACATACATACATACATACATACATACATACATACATACATACATACATACATACATTACATACATACATACATAATACATACATACATACATTACATACATACATACATTACATTACATTACATACATACATACATACATACATACATACATACATACATACATACATACATACATACATACATACATACATACATACATACATACATACATACATACATACATACATACATACATACATACATACATACATTACATACATACATACATACATACATACATACATACATACATACATACATACATACATACATACATACATACATACATACATACATACATACATACATACATACATACATACATACATACATACATACATACATACATACACATACATACATACATACATACATACATACATACATACATACATACATACATACATACATACATACATACATACATACATACATACATACATACATACATACATACATACATACATACATACATACATACATACATACATACATACATACATACATACATACATACATACATACATACATACATACATACATACATTACATACATACATACATACATACATACATACATACATACATACATACATACATACATACATACATACATACATACATACATACATACATACATACATACATACATACATACATACATACATACATACATACATACATACATACATACATACATACATACATACATACATACATACATACATACATACATACATACATACATACATACATACATACATACATACATACATACATACATTACATACATACATTACATACATACATTACATTACATTACATTACACTACACTACATTACATACATACATACATTACATACATGCATGCTTTACAGTACATACATACATAACATTACATACATACATACATAACATTAGATACATACATACATACAAACAAACAAACATACATACATACATACATTACATACATACATACATACATACATACATTACATTACATTGCATGACAGTACAGTACATTACATTACATTACACTACATTGCGTTACTCACATTACATACATACATACATGCATACATACATGCATGCATGCATGCATACGTACGTACCTAGGTACATACGTACATACGTACATACGTACGTACGTACATGCATGCATGCATGCATGCATCACATTCCATTACATCACATCACATCACGTCACATTACATTACATCACATTACATCACATTACATCACATACATTCCGTACGCAAATACGTACATTACATTACATCACATTCTATTACATGACACTACGCTACACTACATCACATTCCATTGCATTACATTATAGACATACACACACGTTACACACACACACATACATAACATAACATAACACTACATACATTGCATTACATTACATTCCTCTACACTACATTACATTACATTTCGTTACGTTTCATTGCATTGCGCCACACTAATTTCAATACATTACAATACAACGCATCACACATACATGCCTGGAGAGTTGCACTCGTGCAGGCGCCTTGTCAAGCAAAAGGCCGCCACTTTGATCCAGCTCAGCAACTGCTCGTTACCTGGTTCGACATGGCGCCCCCCGCAAGGCCAAATAGTTACTGAAAAAAATCAAAAAAAGCAGCAGGACGTTGCTCCCGGATGTCCGGAAAATCCGGGATGGAGTTACTTTCTTTCCCGGATTTCCGGAGAATCTGGGACGGAAATTGTTCCCGGAACTTGCGAAAAACCGGAAAGAATCGGACACGTGGAAACAGTCCCCCTTGAGGCGGCCTTCTCCTTCTCAGCCCTGCCCCCCCCGCACGCTTCTAGATTTGTGTCGCTCCTCAACTCCAGCTTCGGGCCGACTGGTGCGAAAACGTCGCAAAATTCGCGTAGTTTGCTGCCTCGTTGCGTCGCAGTGCGAACCAAAGCTCCGCCCACTGCGCCCACGGCCTGACGCGCCGCCTCTCAAATGGCATTGCCAACATGAAAGGAGCGCACGCCGGGACCTGGCGCCTCGAAGGATCCCTGCAACAGCACCCTGCGCAACGCTGAATCTCGGCTTACAGCAGCACCTGCCCTGCAATAAGATCCCCCTGTAGCAGCACTCTCTGACAAATCTGCAGAATCATGAACCAGCACCCTGCTGCATTCTGCCTTGCGCCCTGCGACAGCACCCTGCCCGCAGCAGCCAACTTTGAGCCTCAGCCTGCAGCAGCACCCAGCGCACAGCACCCTAACAGCACCCTAACAGCACCCTAACAGCACCCTAACAGCACCCTGCAGCAGCGACCCCCTGCAACAGCAATCCGCGCAACCCTGCTGCTGCAGCGCAACCCTGATCCTCGGCCTGCAGCAGCACCCTGCAACAGCACCCTGCAACAGCACGCTGCTCAACTCTGAGACGCGGCCCGCGGAAGCATCCTGCGTGGCGCTCGGCAACAAAGCCCTGCGCAACTCCGAGTCTCAGCCAGCAGACCCTGCGACTCTGAGTCCGGCCTGCGAGGTCGGCCTGCGGCCGCTCTGCAACAACAGCACCCTGCAACACACGCGACCGCTTCCAAGCCTATGAGCCACGAAAGGGCTTCGACGCTGTCCTGCGCCACTGCCATGGCACCCAGCATTCGGCGCCTCAAAACAACGGGGCGTGGGCGGAAATCCCTGTTCTGTCGCACCAAAACCACCCCATCAAAGACACCACTACCAAAAACAACCTCTTGGGGAAGGCGGAATAAAGGAAGCTGAAGGGGGGTGTTTGCGGGGTGTGAGAAGCGTTCACGAGGGGTGGGACCTGGGAAAACAGAAAATGGTCACAATCTCTGTTAACTTCCCATTCATGCAACGCAATGGGGAGTAGGTCGTGTTATTGCCGCTTTAAAGCATGGCTTGGGCGAATCTGAGTTAGGGGCTCTGCCAACAATTGTCAAGCCCCCCTCTAGCGCCAGAACGATGCAGAAAGCGTCCCAGAACTACTGGCTGCTAGTAGTCTGCAACGAGACACCGGCTCTTTGTTCGTCTTTTGTTGCTGAGATGCTCGCCGTTGCAATCCCTGGGAAGAACCTGGTGTAATAGTGCTCCAGTCACTCTTTTCAGGTTGGGAATGCGCTCCGTAGTCTAAGCTCGGAACAGGGCGCGTTTTGAAAACAAAGCGTTTGAACCGCGTGCTTGGAGCGCAAATAAGGAAAAAAAAACTCGCAGGACACCATTTCTGCCTCGCAAGCCACTTAGAACGCGCCACTGCAGCTCCAGAACGAGCCTCACTTCGCCACAGCGGAACCCTTCGCAAAACTTCCCTGCACTGCTTGGCAGAACCCCCGTTTCTGGGAACGCAAACAGCTGTCCTGTCTTCTCAGGCACACACACACACACACCCACACACGCTCAGAAAGCGCGATCGGCCGACGCCTATGTGACATTCGGCCGTGAATTTCGGCCCGACGGAACTTTGGCCGAGTGCTGGCCCGACTCTCCTCTGCCAAAGACCGTCCCGACCATCCCAACCATCCCTCCATCCCCACTTTCCTTCCGGCCACGCCAACATCCCACCGCACCCGCCACCCAATCCCCCCGACCATCGCGACAGCCACCACCCTCCAACTCAAACTGCATCGACTCTAATAAACCACCCACACACCAGGCCCACTTAAACTCCTAAGCCACCCAGCCAACCCTAAACAAACGATCCTTCACGCCCCCTCAACAAATTGACATGTTGGCTGACACGTGAGCTGCAACACAAAATATGAGCTGGTAGCCAAAGCTTTCCCCCGAATCCCTTCAAAAGCCGCCGGACCACGATGACTGAAGGCCAAACGCCCAGCAAAGGCGCCCAAGGTCTCGTTGCTCCTCCTCCGCGCTGGCCAGCCACGCCGACGCGGCGCGCACCGCACGCCGGAGCCAAGGCAGCACCACCTGAGCAACAGCTTGGGAAGATGAAGGGAACCGCTGCAAAAAGTGGATCGACACAAACGGAAATACAGTGGAATTTTACGGGGCGAATTCGGATTGTGTTCTTTACATGCTAGTTCAAGTACAACAAATGTCTATGTTTGGGATCCAGGGCTTATTTCCGCACCTGGTCGAAAACCCAATCAACCGGCAGAATGCGCGAGAATTAACAAGGGCCGCCTTTAGGAAAGGTGTTCCAACCGAACCCTACTTCTGAGGCACATCAAGGCATGTCTCGTCTGGGGTCGCTGTTTTGCGTGGCAGGCGGTCCGCCGACCCGTTCTTCCCAAAAGCGTCTGGGAAGGGTAGAACTTGTAGAAGGATGTGCAAAGTCGTCCTCCTAGGTGCACGCATGCGGCATGATGCCAGGGATACTGCCCGCAACTTAATTGAGCTTTGTGTGGGCACAGGCAAGCGACCACCAGCACGACGACGGCTTCAGCAAAGAAACTGTAGACGAAAGTGTGGAACCACTGGAACCACTGGACGACTGTAATTCTGGTGGCTGATTCAAGCGGCAGCCAATTTGACCACCTTGCAGCCTTCGCAGAGTTCCGACTCTCACGTTAAATTCTCCCAGCGCGAAGACTTCTTCCCCCAATTTGCAGCAACGTCCTCACAGAAAGCGTCCTTCTGAGCTTCTCCACGTTGTGCGTCGGGGAGACCAGGTTTACTACGCGCTCCCGAAGAACGAGCCTGATGCGAAGTAAGTGACTGCCACACCCCAAGGTGCCTTTGTCCACGATAACGGCGACTCCTTGTTCCCTTCAAGGCGCGATAAACCTGACCCGCTGTACGAAGTGAGGGGATCATCCGCGATCAGCACATTGCCGCAAACATCAAAGCACGAACGGAACACTGAGGGATGTGCCTCGAGCAGCTAATGTCATGAATCCTTAAACTACAAATCTACTTTTATATATACATACATATATATATCTCACAGATTGGCGTATGTGTATGTAGATACAATATATATAGATAAATACATATACACTAATACAGTCGATGTTTGTGTGTGTGGATGCCGGCGACATGAGCTTGCGGCCAAGCAGGGCATCCCTCCCTTCAGACCCGGGCACGACTTGTTGCATGGGAATTAAACCGCCGAACGATTGTCCTGCATCAAGAAACCCGCTAAATACTAGGCGTGTCCTACAACAACAGTTCCAAAGGCCGGTCTGATGGGAATCTTTTTGGGGAGTGGAGCCCAATACAGTTTAAAGCCACTGCCCTTGCTGTGGCTCTGTATTAGTATAGGACTCCTGGCTGGATATCTTTCCTGAGGAGCGTTTCGCCTTTTGCTTTCGGCGCACCTCCTTCACGCTGAAGGACCCGTCACCCGCGCAGGCCAGAAGAGCAGCCAGCGCCGCGCTGTCGCCAAGCAGCGCGCCTTGCAAAAGCTGGAAATCCTCTACCTCGCAACCAGTACCCCAAAACAATCATACGTAACAGTTACATAATGTAGATATTCCTCAAACATATCCTCTACAAACAAACACATATAGACACACCAGAATTGAATGAAGAAGTAGCCGCCTGCATACGTGCATGCACCACATACAGGGAACTCGGGAACATCCTCTGACAGCGCTCTTGCGCTTATTTTTTCAAATGCTTTCCGTGAGACATGCACATAACATGCAAGTGACCCCTTCAAATGTACAGTGTACGATGAACGCGCAAATGGTGTTTAATCTTGGGGGTAGTAGTAGGGATGGTGTGTCCCTTGTGCCCCTTCACTCTTTCCTGGAAACCAATGCAAGCGCCCCCTCAATTCATTCAAGGCCGCGTCTCCTCTTGCCGAAAAGGAAATGAAACTCTCCCAGCGGCATCTGCTTGACTCAAACTCTCCCCTATCCAACTGCCAACCGCGGCGCCGCTTCCCAAGACTTGCACAGCGCCTTTGCGAATGAAGGACCTGCCGGCAGAAAAACCAAAGGGCAGCCCACTCTCCGGGAAAGCCTGAAACTCCTAGTCTTTCTCTTGGTCGACCCTTGGTCTGCCAAGCGGCCTTTTCAAATTGGGAACTTGCAAGGGCCCCTTGGGCACAGCAAATGAGCACCCCCGAGCCCCCTCCTAAACTCAGCATAGACTGGATATGTTGACAACGAACCTAACGAACCTCACATGCTTTGACTCAGCGATACGCCAAGTTAGGGGACAACCTCAACGACCACAGCTCGCATCCAAGGACAAGCGACCGAACCTCATCTGTTCCTTAGGGTATCCGGTATCTCCCCTTAATGCACCATGAATGGGCCAAAGCACTTAACACGACGCGTATGGACGAAATCCTGCACCACCGTTTGAACCCTGGAGTTGTCCTGTAAAAGCAAACCAATAATGGTTTCCCATGGTGTCACAGTGGCACGGAATTTCGTCCATCCACTGCACTGTTGGACCTCCTTAGGAGTTGGGCCCTCTACTCTAGCAAGTGTTTTTCGTAATTCAGGATCCTGTGATTGCGTTGGGGTCCTCTACTGTGGCAAGTGTTTTGCCGGAAACAAATGCCGGAAAAGATCTGAGCAAAAAGACACTGGCCAAACAAGGTGGGCAAACAAATCCGGGCAAACATTAGGCATTCCTGTTTTTTAATCGGTCCCCAAACCATCAACTTTAAGATATGCGTACAAGAAAGTACGGGCAAACAGTCTCACAAAGGCGCCCCAGCTCCAAGGTAAAGGCCTTAGATCTTGGCAATGCTAAAGTAAGTTCCGGGGAATCTTAAAGTCTCGGCAATGCTAAATTTAGTCCTGGCAACACACCAGTAAGCCAAGTCCACCTCCCACCCAGACCCCCACGACTGGTTCCACCGTCGGCCTGGGGTCTGCCAGGTGCCCCTGCGCCGCCACCAGCGCGAGCTGCGAGCCGCGGCCCGCGCAGCGGCCCAGGATCTGCACCGACAGCCGCCTACGAAATGCGGTCGAACGCGTGCCGCAAAACAGAAGGTATAATGGCAAGTCCAACCAACCAACTGCGCGAGCCTGACCCAGCTCCTTGGGTCATCGAACCACATGGCCGCCGCCAACAGCGCTGAGTCCTCCGTCTCAGCCATGGCACCAAGCACCTGTCAGGCACACACACATAATACCGGCTTTTGCTCCCCTGAAGATACTTGTTTAGGGACATACTCGTTCAAAGATTTTGCCAAGCCGCCTCTGCAGCTGCTTCCCTGTGCGTGGCAACTCAAGTCTTTCAGCCATGGATTTGCAGTGAAAGCATGTCATGCGTCATCCTGACCGCCTGCCACAGGCAAAGTCCACAAGTCCACAAGTTGACAAGTCAACAGACTCACAAACATTCCCCCCCGTGTCTCCAGCGGCAATATCAACCTTGGAGGCAGCCTGCCCTTGCAAATGCATTCTCAGCATCCCAGCCTGACAAACCACCGGGTGTCTTGCAGGCAAGCGCTCATGATGCCGAGAGCCTCCGCGAAACGCACACGCGCTTTGCAGCCCGGCCTGAGGCTGCCCAAAACCACTAGGAGAAATCCTCCTTCAAAGCGATATTAGGGGAGGAGGGGCCGGGAATGCATTGGAATATTTTCGCACAATGTCAATTTCCGTGTGTCGGTGTTTCTCGGCGAATGTCCTTTAGCATTCTCCACGATTTGGTTTTGGTCGGGGACAGCCACCGAGGCAAGACTGCGATTTCCAGCTGGCATTTGGCTGGCATGTCGCTGCTACAGTTTCGGCATCACAGGTTCTGGATCAAGCAGTTCTCCCAGTTCACAAGCTTTGGCTTGAAAAAATACGTGGAGGTGAGAAGGTCGGCCAAAATGTGTGTCTGTGTGTGGCCCCCTTTGTCCTTCGTTTTGAGCAACCGCCATCTTGCTTCAAATTGAGGGCGGTTCATAAAGACCTACACAGGGATCCCCGTCAAAATAACGGGGGGGGGGGGGGGGGCAGGGTCTGCGGGCAGCGCCTGCGGGCGGCAGCCACCAACCCAATTCATCCCGAGTAAGGGGAGCAAGCGGGGCCCCGCCTGGCTTGGATGCGACACCAGCGCTGTCAGCACCTCCCCGGCCTCTTGCCGCACCTTTGGGGTCCGGAAGCACTTTTGGCAACGGCTTCATAAGCCCATAGTTGGTTGGAACCACTTTGTGTTTCCTTTCAATCCCACTTGGCTTCCTGTGTGAGCTTCTTGCCTTCTATCAATGTGCAGGATTCCTTATCGATCCAACTGGTTTCCAATGCTGTGGTCGTTCAACTTCGGCGAACTACGGCCTATTAGTATACCTGTTCAGAGATCAGGCACGTTACATGAAACCCATCAAAAGCAGAGCCTCTGGCAATCCCAAGACTATCCCCGTTTTGAAAAGAAGGTGCTGAGGGGATACGCGAAAGTCAGAAAGCCGCGTCCTACAAAAAGCGCGTCTCGGGGTTCCCACGGTAGGGTTTCCAAGTGACCGGTCGCGCCTCCAGCTGGGAGTCCTGCAGCGCCAAGGTTAAGGCTTCTGCTGCCTCCTACGGAAGCCGCGGCTTTCGGGGGAAGCGGTGGAAAGCGAACGGTTCCTTCAGCCTGACCCAGGGTGAATCAGGCAGATGAATTTTGGGGCAGGAAATGATCGATCAAAGAAGGTCGTTTCTTTTCAAATATCCAAGGTGGATGTGCAATGGGAACCCTGAGGCCTTTGAGTTCCCTGGTCACTAGCACACCTCTTCTGGATCACTGGATCCCCCACCTCAAGCCGCGCCTTGTCCGCGGAGGCCAGGCCGGACAAAGCTGCCACCGCCTCGCGCCGCAGAAAGGCCGCGGTGTCCAGCTGCCCCGCCCGGCACCGGCGCCTGCGCAAAGCCGCGAAGCCGCAAAGCGCCGGCGTGGAGGAAGGCGCTGTTCTTTCGGCTGGTCGTTCGGCTGGTCTGGTCTGGCTGTTCTTTCGGCACTCTGATTTGGAAGCCTACCCTCTGCAAGGTCCTTACCAAGGCTTGCAACTCCAACCTTAACCCTGAACAAAATCAAAGCCAAACCAACTTAGAAGCCTGCAGATTTCTTACTTGTAACCTTGCAAGCTTGTCAACTGAAACACCATTCACAACCCAGCTTTTTCTCTGTTCTTCTTTGTCTCATCTTGTGTTCTTCTCTTCATTCAATTCGTGCAAGTCTTACAACCCAAACCTTTTTTCTTACACCTGTCAAAAAAACGCCAGTGTTTTGTCTTGAATTGGTCCAGTGGAACCAGAGCTGACAGCAGTTCTTTCTGGCAACTGTGCGGATTCTTGCACAAAATCCAAATTCACAAGGATCCGTTTCTTTCTTCTTGTCCTTCTGCCACACATTTGGCAAACCTTGTACTTTGCCATTTTGGAGTTGACAGGTGAATCGTTGCACCCTGCACTTTCCACTTTTTGTTCTTGCAGTTTCTGTGTTTTTCTTTTCTTGCTTGTGTTCCTTCGGTTGTGGAAGAAGCATTGTTGTTGCGCCTGCCCCGTCTCTTCTGTCTTTTCATATTTTCTTCTTTTCTCTTGCAAGCTTTTTCTTTCTTTTGTTTGTGTCCTTCTTGTGTCCTTCTCTTCTTCTTGCTGTGCTTTCCAAAAGGACTGATCCTGAATGTTAAATCGGGGATCCGGAAACATTGAAATGGTACCATCTTCATGTGGCCTTGCTAACTCTCATAGGTCAGGGCCGGTCAGGGGTCAGGCTGGTGCCAGCTGGTGTGATCGAAGGTTAGATGCTGAATCTGAGTCAAGCTGAAGCAAATCCGCAACAGATTCGGTTTTGTTCGTTGAAGGTCCTCCAATATGGGTGCACCTGAGGAACCAGGCGGTGGCAAATAATCTGACCGTGCCTCACGCACACACTGCTCAAAGAAAGGTCGCTAAGTTGAAGGCAATTGGGGAATTTCTGGGAGTTGGTCCGAAATTAACTGTGTACGTCCCCTGCGTGTTTGGGAAAGTATGGGTCTCTCCGTGCGCCCACTGCGTTCATGGTGTCGGTGGGCTCGCAGCCATTGACATCAGCTGCAATGTGTTTCCAGTGTCAATGCTTTATATTATTGTGGGCAGGCTACTGCAAGTCAAACAACCCTTAAGTACACCTCTAACCGCTTGGGCGCAGCGACATATGAAAGTTGACAAATGGCCTCCGTGTTGAAAATAAGGAAACTATATATACGGTTAACGCACCACGGTGCATGTCAATGTGTCAAACCCAGGTGTAGCTCGCTGTCCAGTACAAACGTGACTGGGGACCAAATGGGACCTGTTCAAAGGCTGAATGGATGAACCCCTGTTTGAGCGTACGGCGCTTGACAAGGCTCATTCAACCTAATTTTGATGAAGCATGGTTCGTCTTTGACAACCAGCCCCAAAAGGTATGCTTCTTGCTTTCCACCCCCCCCTCCCCCGTAGATGTTGCTGCCCACAAAGCAGAAACACATCGAACTTGACCCCACGGGCCCCACCTAGAGTGCTCTGAGCGCGTCTCTGGTGCATCACCTGGCAAAAGGCTGAACACATACGCTCGCGGTTCCATTGCCCCAATATATACCCCTGCAACATTCAGGCAATCCACCATGCTCCCAAGCACCGTTGTAGAACATTAAAGCAACTCATCAAAGGGAAACATCTGCCAGTGACCTCTGGGCTATTGCGTCACTCTTGGGCTTCACGGATCTTCACGGTCTGCCACTGTGTAGCTCCCAAAAAAAAAACGTGAAAAGAACTACAGCCTCTAGAGGGAAGGTTCCGGGTGGAAATCGCAATGAGCAGTTTGAGACTTGGACCGTCAGCACCCACCTCGCCCTTGCGAGCGCCGGCCCACTTGGTGCAGCCAAGCGGCGCAGCAACTTCAGCGCAGCCTCCCGCTGCATGGCTCCATCTCCACTTTCTTGCGCCGAAACGGCAGCGGCATTGGGTTGCTCGTTTCGGTTGTAACCACTTTGTGGGCTTCGTCATGGTGCTTCCCTGCGGAAAAGCGAGAAAAGCTGGCTTGCTGCCAAAAAATGGTTTCTGACCCCTACACGCTGGTTTCCTGTGGGCTTTCTTGATGCACCATCCAGCGGGATCCCTGATTCTAAGACACAGCCACCTCAACTGGTACTGTATTCGAATATCTTTGGCATCTTTTGTTTGACCGACGTTCGAACGGTGCAAACGCGCAGTGAGACAGCTTGCCAAGCGAGCCGCGGCTCAGTGAATTCTGCCAGGCGTCGTTGTCCGCTGACAGGGCGCCATGCTGCCCGCTGAGATGCCCAAGGGGCCCAAGGCACACAGCGATACGAAAAGGCGATCCAAATGCATGTGCCAGCCTTTCAGGTCTGAAAGCTTGCGCGAATTTGGCCATTTTCTGGCAGGGAAGTCTCAGGGCAAAAACGAGCAGTACGAGCCTTGCCTTCAAGCAAGCTCTGCTCAAGCAAACTCTTGAGCTAACATAGCAACATGGTACAGCATTCAAACGTTGACTGGAAAGACTCAAGTCTCTCTCAGATGTGTGAGATTCGCTCAGGCTCCTCCTCAATTATAGGAGGGGCGGGGGGGTCCGGGTAGTTTTCACCTGGATCCATATTGTCGGGATCCTCAAAGTTTGCTTCGGGATCCAAGTCCGCGGCGTCCTCGGCGTCTTGATGCGGCACCTCTGCCGTTGGGGAGGTCGGCTCTGCGGCCCTGGGGCGGCGCAGGCGGGCCATGGTGCGATTGCGCAGGCGATCGTAGAAGTAATACCTGCCAGGGCCAAAGGGCCATGCGACCGGCCAAGGTGACAGGCAGAAGAAACAAGGGAACCATCTAAGGCTACCTTCGCAAAAAAAACTGCGTTGGAGGGCGCAATGCGCAATGCGTTTTGACACATACCCGCGGCGCGGCAGTGGCTTCCAAGCAAACAGCGTGCGCCAGCTCCGCGGTTTAGTCCCCAAAAGTTTCAAGTCGCAAACAGCAAGGGAAACCCTACAAACTCCCTGCCGCCTGCCTGCCAATGCAGATGCCGGCTCCAAGGCAAAGCACGAAAAACAGACCTCCGCCAAAACCTGCGATGCCCGCGACCATCTGAACGTCCAAATCGTCGCTTGCATCTGTCGTCTCATTGCTCGCCTGAAGCATCCGCATGGTTTCGTACTCGGCGCTGCAGTACCCTGCATCGAAGGGACACTGGTCGCTCTCGCAACAGCAGAGGCGTTGGGTTCCAGCAAGCCCGCCCTCGCAAGACGAAGGCCCGGTGAACCGCAAGCCGCAGGCCCCATCCTCAGGCACTCGCAGATTGAAATCTTCTAGCTGCCCACCCTACTCAGTCACAAGCAGGAGACAAGCACCTCAGAGAAGTAAAGGAAAAGATGTGAAAACAAGACGCGCAACAGCAGAACCACAACGCCCAATACTTTAACCAACAGCAATGGAGCATCTCTGTATGACGGCGCTGTGGTCTCACCCGCAAGCTCCGTGAAGTTGTCGCACACGAGGGACGACCCTGCCGCGCTCCAGACAACCCCCAACAGCCGCCACGCGTCCTCGTTGTCGGCACACGCAGTCATCACCTGTCTGAACCCCCCAACTGGTTCAGCCTTTGCCGTCCCATGTGTTTATGCATGTTCCATCGCAGGGGGTTAAAAAAGAGTCCATGGCATGTGCGTGAAGGCCAGGAGCAAATTTGCTTGTTTTCCCTGTCGCCATGAGGGAGCTCTTGGAAACCCCAGCCGGCTTGGGGCTGCCGTCTGCCCGCCTCCTTCAAGGGGCCCGAATTGCAGCTGCCGCCAACACGGGCGCAGGCTGCGCTGCAGCTCTCGCCGTCCAGGCCAGCCACCCAGGCGCCTAGGGCCATAGGGGTCCAAACAAACAGAAGGCGACTCGCCATCGCAATCTTCATGGGGCCCAGCCCCCCCTTGGGCAAAACGGACGAGCCAACGGCACAGAAGAAACGAGCCGAAGGTGCGCAAGCAAGACCCTGCTCGAACTACTGCGCACGGCCACCAGCGCTACGCGCCGTATTTAGTTGCGCTCGATCTCAGATGGCAAGGAGGTTCCCGCTTGACGGAGGGTCCCTGGTTTCCAATTGATCGGACCCAAGGTGAGACTTCGCTTCGCGCCCGCTCGCTCAGACTTGTGTGAGCTCCCATGCCTCAGGCGGTTGCCTAGCAATGCGCGAGCCCGCCATGCCGCCCCCAGATACATTGATTCAAGGGCGGATCGGTGTCAACTAAAGCACCACGTGTTCCCAAAACGACGAAAGGAAACACGCAAGTCTAGACGGAATTTCCGTGTCACGGACATTATTTTAAGTTGATTAGATAGACTAGATACCTGAGATACACTAGATAGATTAGATAGCCGAGATAAATTAGATAGATATTGCGGGTTAGATGGATTAGATGGATTAGATAGATTAAACAGACTAGATAGATTAGATAGATTAGATAGATTAGGTAGATTACACGGATTGCATAACGCAAATAGATGAGATGGATTAGAGAGATCAGCAAGATCAGGTAGCTAAGAAAAGATGAACAAGACAGATCACATGGATAAGACAATTAAGATAAATCAAGAAGGACAATAAAGGTAAGACAAATACGGATAGGTAAAGTAGGAAGTGATAGATAAGACCAGAGAAATAAGATAGACAAATAACAAACATAGATAGGCTAGGTAAGGATGATAAGAACGATGGTAGAGATGAGATAGATGAATAGACAAATAGATAGGACAAATAGGACTGATAGGATAGATAGGAGAAACAGGTTAAATAGAAAAGACAAGGTAGGTAAGAAGCCTAAAACAGACAAGACAGATAAGATAGACAAGATAGATAGGATAGGTAAGACGGGTAAGATAAATAAGACAGATAAGATGAATAAAAGAGAGATTGGACAGGTTAGATAGAAAGAAAGATAGTTCAAAAGACAAGTACGGTAGATAAGATCGACATGACAAGCAATATATAATAAATGATGAAGTTTTGGCACAAAGGAAAGATGTGAAAGATAAGATGGGGAAGACACAAATGAGATACATACATTGAATGAGAAAGGATACGGTGGGCTAGCATAGATAGACAGTAAAAGAAATATGATAGATAAACAAATCGATGAATAGATAGATAGATTAGATAGATAGATAGATAGATAGATAGATAGATTGATAGATTGATAGATTAGATTAGATTAGATTAGATTAGATTAGATTAGATTAGATTAGATTAGATTAGATTAGATTAGATTGCATCAAGGCAGCCATCAAGAAAGGATGTTAAATAGGGCCGATAGGAGGCTGCCACTCAGCCCTAATCACCTTGAGCCAAAATGGCTACCGTTTAAAATCTAAAATCTATGAAAATCTAAAATCTAAATGTCTTTGCATATCCGTTGTAGGGCTATCCGTCCTGGGCTGCTATGAAAAGAAGACCGGTTGCAGCTCGCCCGTGTGGCCGGGAACTAACCCCATGCTTTCATTGCCAAAGTCGGCGCCCTGGTGGTAATTTTAAAAGAAGCGATGGCGGGACCGAGTACCAGGCCCAGATCAACACGTTCTCAGAACCCTTTGATCTACTTCCAAAAAATTGCTGGAAGGCAAGCTGGGTCGACTTGGGATGGGCTACACGGCGCAAGGCAACGCACTAGAGCGCCCCAAACATTCTCCCAAACTCAAGGCTCCTGACGCTTCCAGAAAACCTTGGAGACAGACATGTGTTGATTATGATTATGTTGGGAGTTAAGAGGCATCTCACCTCCCGCCCTCCGCCCCGGAGCCTTTGCATGCCATTGCACGAGCACCAGGCGAACGGACAGCGCCTCCTGGTGATCAAGCCCTCGAGGCGGCCCAAACCCAAGAAAATTGGAAATCCTGCGTTGGCCGAGGACCATGCGAGTACAGTGAGCGGCGGCAGCCGGACGGAGGGGTGGGAGGGGGGACCCTCACGCGAAACACGCGTCGTCTATGAGGCCATGGCGTTGACATCCTCATAAGCCGCACCCCGCCACCCTTGCCCCGGCCTCACTCAATTCGGGCGCCAGCAAGGCCCAGGGAAACTCCACTCGAGCCCAGGACACCTGACCGGAAGAAGGCCAAGACTTCGAGGTACCCAATGAGTGCCTTCAGTGCTTAGTGAAGCGCAGTCAACTGCACCCGCATGTCGCTAAATGTTTATGCTCGTGAGAGGTCCTGAGAAGGCTGGCCTCTTCATGAAATGGAACATCTATGCTGAGTCTTTCTCTTTTCGTGTTCGAGCAGTCAACCGGGCGACATTGGCTTTAGTGTTGTCGTGCTGTTCGCGGCAGCGGTGTGATGTTTCTGTTTAGGATGTTTTTCGCGGCCTTGTGTGCGTCTATCCTTTGCGAAGACTTTTGTATCCGAAACCTGACATGAATGAGGTGGAGCCAAGAGCAGCTGACTTCGTGAGGGTGAGAGTTGGCTCGGGCGCTCGCTTCATGTTTTGCCGTTTCATGTCTCCCCTACGCTGTCGAGAATACAGCCAGCGCGCAACTCGCCCTGGAGCCCTGTTCCAACCTCTTGGGCCTACACATGCCTTTCTCTTATCATCTCTTCGCAGCCTACGCCTTCTGTCGAGCTTCAGGCTTTGATGACCGCATCGGTGGTCTGTGGCGGCCAGAAGGGAAGTGAAGCTGCGCCAGCCTCTGATGACCACGCTGCATTCACCGCGCGCTCTGCGCCAACCTGCCAACAAGTCCAAGAAACCTGCGCCTGGGTTGCGGAAAAGGGGGGATCAAACTGTAGTGGAACATGAATGCAACAAGGCGATCCACACCCATGTGGCTTGAGGAGTGAGGATTGGTTTTGAGCAACCCAGTTTACGCACAGTCCGTCTGACGACACGCCCTTTTCAGTGGAAACATGCTCCTAGTGGGAGTGAAGGCACGTATGAGTACCAATCCCCGCCCCCCCGATCGATCCGAAAGCCTCCACCCGGAAGGAAAAGCTGAGCACAGGAGGTTGCCTCGGCCGGGAGTTGTTTCATTGCCTCGAAATTCACGAATGCGTTGAAATTTGGGAACCCCACCAAATGGTCGTTGCGATCCTTACAGCTTTCTCTTTGCCAAGATGGATCCCCTCGGCCTACTGTGGCCTTGGTAAAGGTACTTCCTCGCTGACTCGCTGGACACGCCTCCCGTAGCAAACGGCGGAGAGTAATGTGTTCCGGCCAAGGCGCTCCATCCAAAAGAAGATGACCGCGTTGCCCTGAAAACATGCGAGCAAAACACGCAATTCGCTCATTCTGGTGCGTCCACTCCTGAGATCCGGCAACACACACCGTGAACTTGTTCAACTGAGAGGCTGAAAAGGGCCTTTGATATTAAACCCCGGCCAACGCATGCCGTATGGTCAAACCTGCCGCCCTCAAGGCCTCTGCTGCATCACCATCGCCCGATGGAAAAATGCCTCAATCGAAGCTGGGCAAAGGCACCAAGTCAGGCTCGCCCAACTGCCACTCTTTGGAAGGGTCACTAAATCCCGCAAATCCAAAGTTGATGCACAGCTGAGCTCCAATGATTCCATTGCCACTTGCTCAAACATGGCAAAAGAGGACGCCCAGTGCGAAAGGAGTTTTCTAACGTCAACGTCCCAGCGTCGGAAGGCCACCTCTGCGATGGGCCCCAGGGGTCGCCAGGGGCTCTCCCAGTATCTCCTGCATCGAACACCACCCAAACGATGCGCCTCTGTCGGAATCTGGGCTGTGAAGGTGTGCCTGTGTGGGGCACACGCAACATGACGTTGCTTCATGCCCATTCAAACCACCCAAGCCAAGCAACGCATGATTCCCGCGTCTGGTCAGTTGCACGGAAGGACCCGGAAATGAGAAAGCCATCCGGAGGCTAACCTCTCCCGGCAATCTCACGTCTCCTGCGTGGCACTTTGCGACCGTCCTCGCGTGCAATGCGAGCCATCAGCTTGGCTTCCAAAAAAATATGCCATGATATATCTATGTCATTCTGTGTCAGTATGTCTAAATAAATAGACAATATATATATATATATGTAGCTATGCTCTAATGTGCCATTGCATCCCCGGTCACTTGCTCACAAGAAGCTACCAATCCAACCCGCAAGTTCGATACAAGGGTAAAGTAAACACAGAACCCCCAATCAAAAAACATGTTTCCTCCTTTCCCTATTTAGTTGGACACCTGCCCTCCATATGCTTTCTTTGTCTGTGGGTGGGGGACAAAAGAAACTCATGCGCGCATCCTCCCATGAGGCGACAAGCGATGGCATATCACTTTCTGGCTCCTGGGATAGCCGATGCCGAGCATGCTGTATCTGCCACACGGCTTCCACCTGAGATCACCATTTCAAAGGCAAAGAAAGAGGTTTGCTGAGAACAAACCAACCTTATCCGTTCCTTTCCTCTAGGGGGCAGGGCATACCCCATATTAAAGGAACATGAGCTGGGGTGTGATTTCCCTTCTTTTCAACGAGCAGCTCTTTAAAGGCTCCTAAGAGTTTTTTGATGGCTTTCTGGAAGAAGTGATCCATGTAATACGGACAATATGCCCGAAGCACTCTTTTTGTGATGCCCAAATAGGAATTTGATAGAAAAAAACATCACTTCATACACCTTGTCCACCAAACAAACACGTCGACCTAAGACCCACCAACGGCATTTAATCTGCATCTGTTCGGAGCTGGGTCCCAGCACCAGTTGGCTTTCTTAGGAGACACGGTAAAAAAGGGGGCACTGGCGTTTCCCTAGATTAATAGTTGACCAGTTCCAACTCCGAAAAAGAACGCATGAAATTGAGGGAGGGAGACACGGAAAAGTTTTCGTCGCCCAGAATTCTACAATGATTAAACTTAGTAACTTAGTTTCAAGTGGCAGGTCACAGTGTGTGACTTTGCTGCCACCCGTGACAACTGCCCGTGAGCAATCAAACATACGATGCCCAAAAATCCAGCTGAACCGGAAAGCCTTCCGTGCGAAGCTTGGGGCTGCGGCGGGGTTCTGGAGCAAACTTTCCTCCGTGGTGTCCCTCAGATGCCCAGGTGAAACACGCAAGATGTCAGCACAAGGCTTGAAGCATGGGTGCGGCATGGGCAAGTTTCGTGAAATGTGTCCAGGATTGGGTGCTGTGTCCCTTTAAAACACCCCGAACAATTGATACATTAAAGAAATAAAAAAAACTTTTCTTGCCGGAGTGCTGGCTGGCCCAAAATGATTCCCCCTCCGCGCCAAGGTGCTCCAGCTGCTTGAACATTTCCGCCGCCAGCTGCAGCTTCACCAAGTCTCGGCTGTGCACCTCACCGCAACCCCCTTCGATGGGCTTGTGGTGACGAGGCGCCTGCGTTGAATTCAACATTTCAGCCTGAAAATGAAGAATGACCTTCATCGACCCCGTGATAATTTTGCACAGGTCCGGGCATGTTTTTTTGCCGGGGAAAGGCGTGCTGACACAGCCATCGCTGCAACTGGCCCTGCAACCAACTTCCAACACCAAACGCTGCCGATGCCTTCATTCCACTTCCATCCTTCCTGCGCCATCGAACATCAGCAGCGGCCATGAACCGCTGTCCGGCCGACAAAAAATCAAGCAACATGTCAAGCAATGTTTGTACAACTGGCTCCAAATTCAAGTCTTCTAGTCGCAAGCGGTGTATCCACCGGGACCTGTTGTTCTTTCAGGTCACCCATGGCGCCCTCTCGGAGCATTCTATATGCGATTTTGGGGCGTGCCAAACGGGAAACCAACCTGAAAAGGGTACCACCTCCAAAAACCACGCGCACAAACACGCTCATTTGGAGACTCCCATTCTGACGCAACTCACTCCTGTAGGTCCCGGAGTTCACCACCTCGCGGTGCTCCCGCAGGGTGTCCACCACCTGAGGCTGAAAACCAGCGACCTCTGCCTTTCACCAAAAGCTAGTCAGCCAACCAGTCAACCAATGAATCAACCAACCAACCAACCAACCAATCAAGCAAGTCCAGCCAACCAACCAATGAAATCAAACTCAAACCAAATCAAATCAAGTTTCCTCCAGGCAAGCCGTGTGCATCAAGTCAAATCAAATCAAAGCAGATCAGATCAAGCCAGTCAGCTGACCAACCAATCAAGCAAGTCCATCGAGCAAATCAAAGCAATCAAGTCAATTCATCAATCAATCAATCAATCAATCAACCAACCAAGCCAGGCCAACCGTGTCACACTGCAACATGAAAGTATGTAAGGACGGGCGAACACATTGCCCGCTTTGCGAGTGTCGTAATGCTGGAGCCACTTTGGTGTGAACGCCTGGATGAGTAATATCCGACAAGCGTGGCAGGCATGATTCGGGGGTTGGTGAAGGCAATACGCCACTTCAGGGCAAAGAAAGGTGAGGAGCAACATTCAAAAGAGCTCGGCACGGAATGGCGTATTCCAGGTGGGCAAGGTGTTCCGCATGGACCACGGCAAGGAGCAAGGAGCGGCCAGGCAGGGCTCCCGTCCCAGAGTACGGCAGCAGCATCCCTTCCAGGGCTTCCTGTGCGTGTTGACTGTTTGCATGCTGTTCCAGGAGGTGCGCTGCTGTTTCATGGCGGCAAATAGGCTCTCACAGCGCCAGCGGGGGTAGTTGGCGTTTATCAACGCCAAGCGCGGCAAGAGCAAAGGAAAGGCGAAGAAACAGGAAAAACAAATCGCTGACCAGGATTCAAGCCCTAGGTCGAATAGCAAGGGCGCAGCAAAAGCAGCCCGCGATCGATTAGAACCACGCCTTGGCTTAAGTTTACCAAAATTTGCCCGGGAGATATGTATGCCCGGGAGTTAGTAAGTGTATAGCAACCCATTCAGCCCCCAGAAAGACACCCTTGTAACCAGGATTGCTAGAAAAGCAAATTCCAGGCCAGGCCATCTAAATCGGCGCACGCGGACTTTGTGGGTAAGTTACTAGTTAGTAACTCTGGCTGTGTGGGTGTGGCTCAAAAGTTAAGAGCTAGGGTTACGCAGGTTTTGGTCTTTGTTTCCATTTACCTAGGGGCCATTCTGGGTACACCTTTTTGAGCCACAGCCATTTTTTCCGCCGCTCTTGTGCCTATGGTGCCAACACTCTTACAAAGTGTCCATCTGAGACGAGAACAAAGGCCCGAAGTGTTGAGCGGGCAATGTTTCGTCCGAGTCGCGAAGTCGCTCTGCCGGCGCAGGCGGCTCCGCAGGCGGCGGTACTCCGAATGGAGGCCCAGGGCCTCCACGGATTGCACCGTATCAAACCCTTGATAGAGTGGCTTGGGCGTAGTGAAAGCCATAGGGAAAAGGAAGGCAAACAGAACAAAGCAAAGCTCAAGATGGTGTCGTGCCTTTTGCTTGCTTCCCTTCAAGCCAGCCTTAAAAGCGCGAGCGCACCGCGTTTTCCTCCTAGTAATGCTTGTGACGCCCCTAACCGCTCAACTGTGAAAATCCATAAACCAATCGCCTGGCTCTATGGGGATCTGCCCTGAAAAATTGCTGAAAGCAACTGACGCATCCAAAATGCTTCTCGGCCTCCATTGCTTGAAAGCCAAAAAACCTCCAAGCCGTCCGACGGCCCAGCGGCCACGTGCCTCCATGAGCTGGGTGCTGCCCTTGGCGCGCCAGTGGCTTGGCCAAATGGGCAGGCCACATTGAGGTCGTTAAACTCCCGCAAGCACGGAAATTGCACAAGTTCTTCTGAATCCTGGAAAGCGGCCCGCTACACCGCGCCTTGCGAATTGCCCAGCAGCGCTGGTAGAAATAATTGGTTTTTGCGTTCTTTGTTACACCCTTTTTAGGGAATCCACAACACGCAAAGGGATGCAAAGGGTGGCTCTGAAAACCTGGGACGCTAGGACCGCCGGCCGGATGCCACACGACCCCCGCGCTTTCCAGCTCGTCTTGCTGAAGCTCACCTGGGTGACTGGGCGCCACAAGGAATATAATCACTGGTTGGTCGTCATTGTTTTTTCTTTTGTGTTTCTTTAATAATTAATGCCTCCCGGCCTGGTGGTTGCAGCGTGGGTTCAAGTGTCTGACCCCCCTACATGGGTCGCTTCAGCCTCAGTGCCCTGCAAGGCTTGGAGCTCACCCACGGGACCTGGGCCGATGGCTTCCAAGTGCGTTTCTGGCGACTCGGACGAAGCTAACTGGATGTCCCAGAAATGTCCCGCTCTTGGAGCTGATGGCGCCGAATTCGAATTTGAACATTTCCCGAGTCTGACGCGCCAAACTGGCATGCTCTTAAACTCATGACCTTTTGAAGGGATCCTCGCTTCATTTAAAACACTTGGGTGAGCCAAACATGTTTCCGGCCAGAGCCTACGCAAAATAAATCGATCTCTCTGAAACAACTAGTGAATCATGGCGTTCAACAAATGTCCGTAGGATCTGCAGCCTGTGTCCTTTTCACAGGCGCACTGCTTCGGCCTGTCGAATGGGTTGGCCACGCTCACTTGCATTTAGTTCCGCCGTACTTTTTGTCGTCTCCTGGAAATGGCCAGTGGACTTCCTTCGTCTGTCCACTGCAGCAGGAGGCTGCCTTCCCATTGATAGGCTCGTATTGCCAGGTGATTTCCGGGGAAACCATTCCCGGAATGCCAGGCACACAGCAGCGCTTTTTCCCATCATCGTGATACCTCGGGCTTGGGCTGATTGCTTGCCCAGCGGAAAAAGAAGTCACTGTTCCACGTGATCCGGAATTCTACATCTCAAAAAATGACAAGAACATCGCAGTTGAAACATGTTCAAATCTCTGCCTAGCAGCGTCTTGCACGCGATGCCCAGCCCAAGTCCCTGACCTCTGTAAGTACTCACGGCACAATTGGTCCCAACCCACCTGGTCTCACACTCTGCCAGCAAAGCTGGCTTACATGTGTGAGAAGTGCTGCTGCAAACCAAGCCGGCTCCGCAGCAGGTATTGTCTTCCAGGCCCCCATCCCCACAAGGACAAGCATCTCCATTGCCTCCTGTGCCCCCAGAGCGGACAGCACCGGAAGAGCTGACAAACAAGGCGAAGACGGCGAGTCGAAGCGTCATCGTGTTGATGCGCGATCAGGCTTGTTGTTGTTCACAGACTGTGAAGCACCTCTTGAGACTACATAATGGCAACGGCAGCTTGTATAAATCGAACCGCAACTTGCTAACACGCAGTGGAAAGCTCGGCTTGAAATCTATCACAACCCGTTCCTCTTCAGGCGACTCCTTCACAAAAGGACTCAAATCAAGGAGGGGCCCGCCAATCCAGGCCCCCTGGGTCCCTTGCGGGGCGCCGCAGCACGCCGCGCGCTGGCCCACGCTCGCGGCGCTCGCGCGGCGGCGCGTACCGGGGTGTGCGCGGCGAGGGCCTCAGCGTCTTGGGGACGAAGCGCCAAAAGGGTTGAGGGCACCGACGGGGCAGTAACTGCCCGTAGCTCCTGAACATCCAGCCAATGCTTTTGCACCAACTGAACAACGCAAGCTTTACAAGAGAGAAAACGCTGCCCAGAGATCCAGAAACCAAGGAAACAAGATCAAGACAGGGAAAAAGAAAAATGCACAAACGAAACCAGGCGATACCCGGCAACATGCTCTTGCGAAAGAACCCGACCGCCTCTGCACGCCGAGGTGCGAGGGGCTCACTGGCCGCACCTCGAGGCGCGGCTCCCCTGCTGCCAGAACCGCCTGGCGAGCGAAGCGGACTAGAAGGGATCTAATTTACATGGGTCTTCAAAACGTGCGCTTCTGTTAGCTAACGTCCTCTTGAAACTGTGTCCCGAATGTCCTGCTTCACGCTCTCATCGCGTGATGTCTCATCGCGTGATGTCGCGAAGGAAATCTGAAACTCAAGCGCCGCAGAGCGGCATGTGTGGATGCCATGGGGGCCAACATGTGCGGGACCAAAAAGAAACCGCCAAAACACCCACATTACTTTTGGCACCCATCACGCAAAGTGCCGCGCGGACAGCTTGGCCAACTGCCGAACCTATCATGGAGCTCCGAGTTGGTCTTCGTGAGCCCGTCTGCCCGCTGAAGGTTGGTGGGGGCACACATGATGTCATCGGTGCACAGGTTGCTGTGTGGACCTCACCATGACCACGTTTTTCGGACAGGTTCCGGTTTGCCGCCAAAACCAAGCTTTTGCAATCAGTCACACTCAGCTGTTTCAGAAGAGGCTCTTTGCGAGTGCAGCTGCCTGAGAAAGTGATCAAGGCTCCTCATCATGATGAGGACTCTTACAGCCCTCAAGCCTAGCTGTGCCAGGGTGGCTTTGTTGCAGCTGCTCTCCCCATCATGGACTGACGCTTGGAAAAACCAGGCAGGTCCTCGGTCTGCTTTTCAGTGCCTTTGTAGAGGTTGTCAGCTCCTCCCTAAGTGACGTGAGCACCGCCGTCTGACCATTCAAGGCTCCGAGGTCATCAGGGAAGTCAGTCAGGCGTCCTTAATGCAGCTTGATCTTCCTGGTCTCTTTCAGTGAGTTGTCATCCGTGAGCAAAAAAAGGTCCTAGGTGAACATCTTCTCCGGTAGCCAGGACGTCGTCCACCTGCGCTATGAGAGTCCCCGGCATCTTGGAGATGTCTGCGCCACCACAATTGCCATTTCAGGCATCTGTCCAGCATCTGAAGGACGAATCCCTGCCAGCCTTGTTGGCGTGCTCCAGACCGGCAACTCGGAGGGCCGGCGCCTCCGGCTGCGTCCGTGTAGCATTGCTGGCTGGAATGCATCTTCTGGCAACCGGCTCCGCTCTGCCCACTTGATGTTGGTCTGGGTGTACTGCTCGATGACCTCTTCCACGCCTCTCATGATGCACCGCCAGGGCATCTCCCGGTCTAGCGCTTTGCGTTCTTGGCGTGTCATCGGCTCTTTGGTGACCGGCTTCTGCTTGCGCCGGCCACTGCATTGTCTTGGCGGGATCACATTGACATAGACTCCCGCGTCTTGTCGCCCCGTGGCGAAGGGGTCCTGGAAGCATCCGTCCGGGCTGACATCCAGTTGAAGTGGGAAACCATAAGTTTGTAGCCATCATCCGCAGGATGTCAAGCACATGCTGCGCCTGCCGGGCGCTGTGACCCAGCTTGATGGAGCCCAGTACATGCCCAGAACTGCACAGTTAAAAACCCTGAGATCCTGAATGCAAGCCAGATCGGCCTGAAGCCGCTCGCCGAACTGTTCCTAAAACATTCGGAGCGATCTCGCAGGTTGCAGAAGGATTGCTTCCAGGTTAGCACCTCCTAAACGAAGGCCCTTCCTTCGCGCGTTTGCTCTGGGTCTCTTTTACCTTTGCCAGACCAGGATGCCGGCAGATCCAGATTTCTGCCTGAAGGCTGAGGTCCAGGTCTGCTGGTCGCGGAGCATGTGGTTCATTTGCTCTTGCCTCACTCCGCAGCATCATAAGCTTGGTTGCTCTCTTTGGCTGCGCCACGTCCACCGCGGTCAGCGTCTTCTGTCGTGTTCTTCACGTTGACAGGGATATTGATGACCAGGTGGTTGAGGACGTGGCATGTCTCGAACTCGCTCTCCAGGTGTGGCCAGGGAGCCCCTCATCCGAACACCACCTGAATCTCATCCGGCCCAACCGCAGGGCAAAAGGTGACTGGTGAGATCCATGCTGAAGTTCTGGGAAGCCAGCATCCTTGGTGCAAAACGTGGGGAGCAGGCGCGGTAGTCTAGCCGCGCGTGAGCTCTCGGCCACGGTGATCTCGATCGCCTTCGGCATGGGGCTCAGCATCGGCGAAAGTTTCTGGGATGAGTCATCATCTCACTGCCAGGATGTGGCAAAACCGCACGGCGCTGCGGTTGTCCTGTTTCGCGCTCTCATTGCATGATGTCGAAAAGGAAATGTGAGACTCAAAGGGTCGCTGAGTACCAACATGGTGCGGCATGTATGGATGCCATGGGTGCCAACATGAGGGGGGACCAAAAGGAAACAGCCAAAACACTCACAGTCAGAAGGGCAAGCGACAACGAACAGAAGCCAGAAATCTCAAATTAACAGTGCGCAGTTGCGGAAAAATGCCATTCATGCAGGGGAAGCGTGTGCCACAGACGAACAGGCGTGAGCAAAACTTGTTCAACAACCCGCTACCCTGGTCCCCTTCAGTATCAAAGCAGACGACGAGTTTCGAAATCCAGCGCAACCTGCAAGTCCTCATCGCAAAGCACAGCACGGCATAGGCCCTGTGGCAAAATGCCCAGGAGGATGGCCTGACAGGTCACCATCTCAGTCCAAGGCACAAGTCGCAGCGCAGTTTGGGGTCCACCGCGTGAAAGCGCTTTTTGGCCAACGGCCTCTTGCTGCGGAGCGAGTTGCTCCTGTGGCCGGTAGCATTGCGGGGGTCCCTCTCCACACACTCAACCCCTCCTCCACATACCATATTATAGGACCATAGTTACATGAGCCCTCCGATCCCAAAACGAACCTCCTTCACTTTGCTGGATGTTTTTGGTGGCTGTTCCGCTGATTTTCGGGCGCCAAACAAAAGAAGCTGTGGGTTCTGAGGCCGAATGAATCCTGTTGCGAACAGCTCCTTGAGGGCGGCCACCGAGGTCGCCGAACATGGCATGGAAAAGGGAGCAACACAGCCCACTCCAAACCGCACCAAAAGGCTGGTATCCTCACAAAATAGATCATCTCCCGACTCTGGAAGGTTGATTCATCCACAGGCATTGAAGGCTATTGGTCCACTCCCGCAGTCAACAATTTTTTAGGGGGCACTTTTTTTGTACCCCGTTGGCCACCAATGCCCCGCATTCTGCCATTATTTTCCTTTGCTGTTCCTCTTGGTGACTTGGGCTCGGCTTGCCATCTCCCACCCTTGAACCGCGCCACGGCCTACGCGGGCCCAGTATGAAAGTCCAGGCTAAGCACCTAGTTCACTTGCCATGTGGGAAGTGGTTGCAGTTAAATTGCACCACGTGCAGGCCGGACTGTCTTTTTGCCCGCCGTTACCTCAGAGATGATGTAGCGATGCAGCGGTAGCTCCTGCAAGTAACACCCTCCCGTGACACTTCAAGTTTCCGTAGGTGCCTGGCTGCGGGCAAAGAAATCATGGAGCAAACATTCCAGAGCGATCCCCGAGAAAGAATCCTTTTGATCCTGCCCAAAAATGTTTCAAGATCATATGCAACCACCTGAGTGCAGGTACGCAGGTCCATAAAATCGCGTCATGGTATCAGGCTCATTCAGCATAAATTTCCTACAATCCCAAATCTGGCGACTCCTTGCTGAAAGTGGAAGGCATGGGAAGGGTGGCCTTAGTGCAAGTAATGCTCTATATGGCGACGACCATTTTAGCCTACGGAGACATATCGTTAGTCTACGGACTGCGTCATTCCAATTGCCGCCCTGGGCAGTGGCGACCAGTTTAATTTTCCGGTAGCAGTAACGACCGAGGTTTCTTGACGCTGGGGCTAGCTTTCAGCACACGATTCAATTGTTACGTTAGACATTCTTGCGTCCACGCTTTTGGAGCAGACCCTAATGGCGCTCGAGAAAAATAGGTATTTGCTCGTTTTACCGGGGGATCAATTCCAATCTCGGGCAGGCTTGTCCTTAGTAGAATTGGTTTGAAGCATCGCGGGGGGGGGGGGATATGTCCACCTGCATGCTTCCTGCAGCAAACGTTTTGAGGCTGTCTGGTGCGTCCTCATGGCTGCGCTGCTAGCGACCAGTTTAGTGTACGCAGTAGTGCCCACCGAGCAAATGTCCCCTGACGCATTGGGGTTGGGGGTGATGCTGGCGGTGGTGACGACCAAATGAGTATGCGGACCACATCATTTACCTTTAACGCCAGCTGATCTTGTTGCATCTTCGCATGTGTTCATGTATTCGTCACCATTAGCATCCTCATAGCTGCAGATGATTTGATGCTGGGGGCTGTCTATCACTCCGAGCAAGCTTGGCCTTACTGGCAAAGATCAGTTTAAAGAAAGAAACCGTTTGTAGACCAAATGCGCAAACGGTCAGTTCAGGCAAATTTGCTAGGTTTTGAATTTTCGAAGTCCGGCTGCGTCCGCAAGGGCGTTGGGCCGGGTGAGACACGCAAAAGCTGCGTCTGAGCGATAGACCGGGTACGTCTGCGGGAAAGATGCTGCTGCTGTGCACCGAATTACACTTCCACGTACCTAAGGGCAACTTGTACCTATAGGAGCACATCCTTAGGCGCCCGCTGCTTCACGAACCTACTGAGCAGAGCTCCACTTTCTGGCTGGGCTGGGCTGGGCTGGGCTGGGCTGGGCTGGGCTGGGCTGGGCTGGGCTGGGCTGCGGGGTGGGGTGGGAGTGGGCGGGTGCGGCCAACCGTACATGAAGTCATTCAAGAGTACGTATGCGCATGTGGGGCCTGCCAACCGGCCAGCGGCCAACCAATTTATTTGTGAACATCAACTGCAAAACAAATGCATTGGGTTATCCGATCTGGAAGTGGCCACGAGCAGTCCTTGCCACTGAAGTCTGCATCAATGGGGTGCGCACATCCGCCTGAAGCGGGGCTGCATGAGAACTGACAATTGGACTCCCCAGATTGGTCCCAGATCGGCCCGGCTTCCTCCTGTTGGCACAAAGGAGATCCTCAAAAGGAGGCACATTTTGGTGGTGGAAAAAATGGCGACCCTTTCTGCCAAAGCCAGACTTCCCGAAACTTTAAAGTGTTCAAACAGAATGCCGACTAGGGGGTGGTGGGGGAGTTCACTCTGAGCTCACAAGAAAAGCGCCTTAGTCAGGTGATGCTTGAAACACCCTGAAGAGCAAGACTGAAAGTATAGGAAAGCCTTTGCATTGGCAGCTGCGATTTGAGACCCCTGCCTTCCGCATCTGACTCTGGACGCCCTGAGGCAAGAACCTCGGGCTTCAATCTGCCCCCTGCACTGAATCTTCCGGGTGAGATGTGCTGATGCAATCTTTCCCAGAGGTCTTGCTTCGATTGAAAGCATCCCGTTCAATCAATACCTCACCCACTCAACCTGGTCACAACACCAATCAACGCTCAAGGTGAGAGCGACATCCATCCAGATGTTGAAACCGGCTGCGGAAGGGACAGATTCAAAGACTTGCCTAGCGCGACAAGGACCCAAGGGCTGGCACCGGTGGCAATTGCCGAGCAGCACTTCCGAGCTCCGGCATGGGCCCTTTGCGCAAGCGGCAGCGCACGGCGGCCTCCGTGGTCTTCACGGTGAGGTCCTGGAAGTTTGGATTTGGCTCAAACCCTTAGGCACTCAAACCACTAAGTTGTTGAGTTCCGCTAGTGACGTGCCGGGAGCCGTCTGCAAAGGGCGCCCTTGTGACCAACCGACAAGTGTTTCAACCCTTGACTCAGACGACACCTCCTGCCCCCACAAGAAGGACCCCCGCAGGACAACGGACACGACGTGGTCTCACAGCTAGGAAATCCTATGGGACGAGCGTGATGAACATCTTCTAAATTGTTGGTCTCGACCCTGTTTGACACACATGTGCCATCGGCAAACTCCTCGTGTAAGCCATAATGGCTACCACGGGACGTCTAAATGCTAAGTAACTTAGCAAACAAGTGTTTTTGACAGTGGCACAAAGTTCAAACATCACACGTGAAGGATGACGTGGTTGAGGGGATGACACTTGAGTGAATTCGAACCCCATGCTGACCCAGGAACTGCAATCATCAAAACCCACCCGCCACGTTGAAGTCTAGCCAGTTATGCTTGTCTTCGCTCAAGAGGCCAGGGCCTGCTTACCTGGTTCAACCCAATTTTGCCAAAATCCGTCAAGAAACGGTTGGGACGTTGCTCCTGTGTTTGCAGTATGTCTTGCCACGCAGGCCCGGGTGGGCAAACTGTTAAACCACCAGGCCGGAAATCGCGCCCTTGCCCAAAATGAGGATAGTTCTCCTTCAGAACTTCAGACAAACCTTTTTTCCCAGCGGGGAGAGTTTGCGACGCGTCCTGGCCAATGACTTCCAAGACGGTGCCCGGCACAACAGCAGGTGCCGCAGGCACGGGCTCGGCCTCCGAGGAGAGGATGGCCAGGAAGATCTCCTTCGTAACCCTTTGAGGGACCTAACCCGGCAACCACCCCCGGCCTAAACAAACTGTGGTGTGTTCTGGGGGTGGTCAGGGTAATTATCTTGAAGCATTATTTTACTGAAGACAAATGATCTCCCAAAAAGGGGGTCTGTGATCTCACATGCTTGTCATGGGAGGGCATGTCCAGGGCTTTCCTGGATTCAGTATTGGATTGGGGTGAAATGTAGTTCTCAGAATCCGTGTGCTGTGGTTGCACTGCTTCTCGCAGCTTTATGACGTTATCCAAATGTGTGTTCAATGTCTGAAAAGAAATTGCTGGCAACCTGCTGGTAGCCACCGTCTCTCCCCTGTCTGGGAACCCGACATCGCCATGTTCCTGGCATCGGCCCAGCCCGCTCGCTTCCCTTGCCAGCAGTTGATCGCCGGCGTTTTCTTGTGAAACGAAAGCTCAGACAAAAACCCTCGAAAGCGAAACCCATCTTCCAGGAACTTCCAGGAGCGAGACATGTGTTCCTCGCCTGGCGGGTGCGGCCGGGCAAATATGGAGCAAAGTCCAGGGCCAGGGAGAAGCGGAGCAGAAACTCATCAGTCCTAGCAAAGGAAACAACACGTGGCTATGTCGCGGGGTTTCTTTTTAGTTCGTTGGTTAAGGGAAACCAAAAAGAAAGCGCCCTGTTTTGTCAACAGTGCTCCAGAATCTGCAGGTTTGGCCCTGTGCAAGCGCAGCTTTGCAAGAAGACTGCGCAGCGTCGCGCTGCAAGATGCTGCGCGCAAGTTGTTATTCGCAAATTGTTCCGTGAAGTTGCTTTGGCAAATTGTTCCGTGAAATTGCTTTCTGCGCGGGTAGCTCTTTTTAAGCGCATTAGGCGCTCAAGACGGTAAAGGCGGGTGGCCCTTTTCGAGCGCAAGTTCCTATTGTGGCACTTCTGCACGCTTGTCTGCGCACCTGCGCCGGGCGCAAGTTGCTTTGCGCAAATCTGAAAGGCGATCTCTCGCTGTGCAGGAAATTCTTTACAACTTATGCAAGTTGCTCTTCGCAAGTGCTCCGCACATGTGCCTTGCACAAGTAGCTTCGCGCAAGTGCTCCGTGCAAGTTGCTCTGGGCAAGTCGCGTCGCTCTCCGGGAGCACCCTGCGCAAGTTGCTCTGCGCAAATTACCATTTCCCACGGGAATGTGCTTCGCTACTTTCCTGCTGGAAAGTTGCGACTTTCCAGCTGGAGCTGCGGGAGCGCACTTCGTGTCCTAAAGGTTGCGACTTTTGCCTTTGCTGTTGGAATGTGCTTCGCGTACTACTTTTGTCAAAGGAAGTTTAACAAGAAACTTCCGTAGTACTGGAACTAAATGAGCTAGCTGCTTTGACATATAGCTATGACAGGTAGCTAGCATGACAAATAGATAGCTTTCACATATAGCTAGCTTGACAGATAGATAGCTTTCCAATAGGCTTGCATGACAGATAGATAGCTTTGACATATAGCCAGCTTAACACGTAGATAGCTTTCTCAAGTATAGATTTCGTGGCAGGCGCAGCACTTTCGCAAGCACTCTCTGCGAGCTGGGGGATGGCAAGATGCAGAAAACGTTGGCGCTGTGCGTGAATTGGGCTTCCGTAGCTAGCATGACAAATAGATAGCTTTGACATATAGCTAGCTTGACAGATAGATAGCTTTCCAATAGGCTTGCATGACAGATAGATAGCTTTGACATATAGCCAGCTTAACACGTAGATAGCTTTCTCAAGTATAGATTTCGTGGCAGGCGCAGCACTTTCGCAAGCACTCTCTGCGAGCTGGGGGATGGCAAGATGCAGAAAACGTTGGCGCTGTGCGTGAATTGGGCTTCCGGACTGTGCGCAAACCACCTCGGCTGCGACGCCTGTACGGAGGCGGTCTCGGAACGGTCTCGGAACGGTCTCGGAACGGGTTCGGAGACGGGCCCATTGGCACGGCCGCGCGAAGGTTTCGCAAGGTTTGAATTGCGTGGCAGGGCGCAGCACTTTCGCAAGGTCAAGTATAGATTTCGTGGCAGGCGCAGCACTTTCGCAAGGTCAAGTATCGATTTCGTGGCAGGCGCAGCACTTTCGCAAGCACTCTCTGCGAGCTGGGGGATGGCAAGATGCAGAAAACGTTGGCGCTGTGCGTGAATTGGGCTTCCGGACTGTGCGCAAACCACCTCGGCTGCGACGCCTGTACGGAGGCGGTCTCGGAACGGTCCCGGAACGGTCTCGGAACGGTCTCGGAACGGTCTCGGAGACGGGCCCATTGGCACGGCCGCGCGAAGGTTTCGCAAGGTTTGAATTGCGTGGCAGGCGCAGCACTTTCGCAAGGTCAAGTATAGATTTCGTGGCAGGCGCAGCACTTTCGCAAGGTCAAGTATCGATTTCGTGGCAGGCGCAGCACTTTCGCAAGGTGCTGCGTCCACTCTCTGCGAGCTGGGGGATGGCAAGATGCAGAAAACGTTGGCGCTGTGCGTGAATTGGGCTTCCGGACTGTGCGCAAACCACCTCGGCTGCGACGCCTGTACGGCGGCGGTCTCGGAACGGTCTCGGAACGGTCTCGGAACGGGTTCGGAGACGGGCCCATTGGCACGGCCGCGCGAAGGTTTCGCAAGGTTTGAATTGCGTGGCAGGCGCAGCACTTTCGCAAGGTCAAGTATAGATTTCGTGGCAGGCGCAGCACTTTCGCAAGGTCAAGTATCGATTTCGTGGCAGGCGCAGCACTTTCGCAAGGTGCTGCGTCCACTCTCTGCGAGCTGGGGGATGGCAAGATGCAGAAAACGTTGGCGCTGTGCGTGAATTGGGCTTCCGGACTGTGCGCAAACCACCTCGGCTGCGACGCCTGTACGGAGGCGGTCTCGGAACGGTCTCGGAACGGTCTCGGAACGGTCTCGGAACGGTCTCGGAGACGGGCCCATTGGCACGGCCGCGCGAAGGTTTCGCAAGGTTTGAATTGCGTGGCAGGCGCAGCACTTTCGCAAGGTCAAGTATAGATTTCGTGGCAGGCGCAGCACTTTCGCAAGGTCAAGTATCGATTTCGTGGCAGGCGCAGCACTTTCGCAAGGTCAAGTGCCAAATTCGTGGCAGGCGCAGCACTTTCGCAAGGTCAAGTACAAAATTCGTGGCAGGCGCATCACTTTCGCAAGGTCAAGTACAGAATTCGTGGCAGGTGCAGCACTTTCGCAAGGTCAAGTGCAAAATTCGTGGCACGCGCAGCACTTTCGCAAGGTCAAGTACAGATTTTGTGGCAGGCGCAGCACTTTCGCAAGGTCAAGCACAGATTTGGTGGCAGGCGCAGCATTTTTGCAAGGTCAACTTTCGCAGCCGGGGCTCGAAAATCGCAACTTTTAAGTACGAAAGTAGTACGCGAAGTCAACTTTCGCAGCTGGGGTTTGAAAATCGCAACTTTTAAGTACGAAAGTAGTGCGCAAAGTCCACTTTCGCAGCCGGGGCTTGAAAATCGCAACTTTTAAGTACGAAAGTAGTACGCAAAGTCCACTTTCGCAGCTGGGGCTCGAAAATCGCGACTTTTTAGTACGAAAGTAGTACGCGAAGTCCACTTTCGTAGCTGGGGCTCGAAAATCGCAACTTTTAACTACGAAAGTAGTACGTGAAGTCCAGTTTCGCAGCTGGGGCTCGAAAATCGCAACTTTTAAGTACGAAAGTAGTACGCGAAGTCAACTTTCGGGGATTGAACATCGCAACTTTTAAGTGCAGAGAAAGATGGGTAGATAGATAGATCAATAAACAGATATAGAGATAGCTAGAGAAATAGATAGAAAGAGATAGAGAAACAGAGATAGACAGAGATAGATAGATTTGTAGATAGATAGACAAATAACTAGCTAGATAGATAAAGAGATAGAGAGATAAATAAATAGAGAGGTAGATAGATAGATAGGAGATAGAGAGGTAGATATTGATAGGTAGATCTATAGATAAATCGCAACTTTTAAGTACGAAAGTAGTACGCGAAGTCAACTTTCGCAGCTGGGGCTTGAAAATCGCAACTTTTAAGTACGAAAGTAGTGCGCAAAGTCCACTTTCGCAGCCGGGGCTTGAAAATCGCAACTTTTAAGTACGAAAGTAGTACGCAAAGTCCACTTTCGCAGCTGGGGCTCGAAAATCGCGACTTTTTAGTACGAAAGTAGTACGCGAAGTCCACTTTCGTAGCTGGGGCTCGAAAATCGCAACTTTTAACTACGAAAGTAGTACGTGAAGTCCAGTTTCGCAGCTGGGGCTCGAAAATCGCAACTTTTAAGTACGAAAGTAGTACGCGAAGTCAACTTTCGGGGATTGAACATCGCAACTTTTAAGTGCAGAGAAAGATGGGTAGATAGATAGATCAATAAACAGATATAGAGGAGATAGACAGAGATAGATAGATTTGTAGATAGATAGACAAATAACTAGCTAGATAGATAAAGAGATAGAGAGATAAATAAATAGAGAGGTAGATAGATAGATAGGAGATAAAGAGGTAGATAGAGAGATTGATAGATAGGTAGATCTATAGATAATTATAAATATAAATAAATAGATAAAGAGATAAAAAGATGGAGAAATACACGTGAGATCATGAGATAGAGAAATAGATAGATAGAGAGATAGACAGATAGAAAGAGACATAGATAGATAAGTAGACAGAGGAATACATAGTGAGATATAGAGATAGATAGATAGGTAGATAGGTAGGTAGATAGATAGATACGCGGAAGATAGATGGAGAGACAGATGGATAGATACATACATAAATAGATAGATAGATAGATAGATAGATAAATAGATAGAAAGAAAAAAGAGATAAAGAGATAGAAAAATAGAAATCAAGAAAGATAAAGAGATACGGCGCCGGACCGGCGACTTTGGTCTCGCTGGCGACGCTCGGCGCTTTTTTGCCGGCGGCCGAAGCGAAGAAGTTCTCTCACGAGGACGTGTGGGAGGCACCGTTCTGCACGCTCACCTGCAGACCTTGTCCCGGGTGCCGGAAGACTCTTGGCACTACACAGGCTGCGCCACTTGCTTTCGCAAGACTTGCGACAAACACGACGAAGCTGGCGTCCGGCCGTGCTACAGCCTGGAGGCTACTGTGTGGGATCACACGGCCACGCTGGACGCGAGGATCTTTACCAAGTGCGTCGACGAAGTGCTGCGTGCTGCCTTGGCGTTTCGGCCGGGCGACGCGGTACAGTCGCGAGAGAATGCGGAGCACGAGATCCGAGCCCGCAAGTGGGCTGTGCGCTTCGTCGTGGCGCACGACGAAGCGTACTCTGGACCGACTGGCTCTCGCGCCGCGCGCAACACCTTGCAAGTGGTGCATGTTCGCGAGGCTCCGCTTACCTACTCGGGCTCAGCAAAGCCACTCCTGTGCTTGCGCGCGGCCGCCTCACTCCCGGGCTGCCCATGCATCTACTTGTCAGACGCGAACTTGGATGACGCAGGGCAAATTACGGCAGGTGAGGATCTGCCAGTCCAGTACGCGGAGCTCTTACTGCGAGTGACGGCCAAAGATCCTGTGCAGGAGTGCAACGAAGCCGAGCGCGGAGTGCGAATCATCTTCGAGTGCGCAGACGCCACGCAGCCAGATATCCGCGCGGACCTCATGTGGGTGGTCAGCGTCAGAGACAGCTTGGCCATCGCGCGACAGCGGCCTGACACGCTGTTGCGGGTGGTTGCAAAGCCTCATGTTCTGTTCGACACGGACGGCGAGCCTTCCTTGCGTCACTGGCAGGTGATCTTCCAGTTTCCGGCTGCGGACGGAGATATCGAGCCGTTTGCCCGCCGTCGGGCGTGGCAGCTTTCCTTGGACTCCCAGCCCAGCCTTGAGATCAAGCGTCTTCAGGAAGACGCCATGGCAATGACTCCGTTGACTAAGGTTGCCAGAGTAAAAGAGGCTTTGACCTCGCCCAGCTTTCGTGCTTGATGACGCGCGTGCCGTTTCGGGCCGCGCGTTCGTGTCGGCGCGTGCCGAGCCAACATAGCTGGCCGCGAGCGCTGCAAGACACTATCCCTGCGCGCTGGCGGCGCTGCCGCGCGAGACTACGGCGCCGGACCGGCGACTTTGGTCTCGCTGGCGACGCTCGGCGCTTTTTTGCCGGCGGCCGAAGCGAAGAAGTTCTCTCACGAGGACGTGTGGGAGGCACCGTTCTGCACGCTGGCTCACCTGCAGACCTTGTCCCGGGTGCCGGAAGACTCTTGGCACTACACAGGCTGCGCCACTTGCTTTCGCAAGACTTGCGACAAACACGACGAAGCTGGCGTCCGGCCGTGCTACAGCCTGGAGGCTACTGTGTGGGATCACACGGCCACGCTGGACGCGAGGATCTTTACCAAGTGCGTCGACGAAGTGCTGCGTGCTGCCTTGGCGTTTCGGCCGGGCGACGCGGTACAGTCGCGAGAGAATGCGGAGCACGAGATCCGAGCCCGCAAGTGGGCTGTGCGCTTCGTCGTGGCGCACGACGAAGCGTACTCTGGACCGACTGGCTCTCGCGCCGCGCGCAACACCTTGCAAGTGGTGCATGTTCGCGAGGCTCCGCTTACCTACTCGGGCTCAGCAAAGCCACTCCTGTGCTTGCGCGCGGCCGCCTCACTCCCGGGCTGCCCATGCATCTACTTGTCAGACGCGAACTTGGATGACGCAGGGCAAATTACGGCAGGTGAGGATCTGCCAGTCCAGTACGCGGAGCTCTTACTGCGAGTGACGGCCAAAGATCCTGTGCAGGAGTGCAACGAAGCCGAGCGCGGAGTGCGAATCATCTTCGAGTGCGCAGACGCCACGCAGCCAGATATCCGCGCGGACCTCATGTGGGTGGTCAGCGTCAGAGACAGCTTGGCCATCGCGCGACAGCGGCCTGACACGCTGTTGCGGGTGGTTGCAAAGCCTCATGTTCTGTTCGACACGGACGGCGAGCCTTCCTTGCGTCACTGGCAGGTGATCTTCCAGTTTCCGGCTGCGGACGGAGATATCGAGCCGTTTGCCCGCCGTCGGGCGTGGCAGCTTTCCTTGGACTCCCAGCCCAGCCTTGAGATCAAGCGTCTTCAGGAAGACGCCATGGCAATGACTCCGTTGACTAAGGTTGCCAGAGTAAAAGAGGCTTTGACCTCGCCCAGCTTTCGTGCTTGATGACGCGCGTGCCGTTTCGGGCCGCGCGTTCGTGTCGGCGCGTGCCGCGTCGGGCCGCGCGCTCGCGCGGACTGCTGCACCGCTGAAGCAGACGAAGAGAAAAGCCTAGCTTTTGCGCTTGACACGCGTGCCGTTTCGGGCCGCGTGCTCCAGCCCAGACTACAGCACGGCTTGGGCAGACGCAAAGAAAAGGCGCTCTCGGGGGGGAGGGAGGAGAGTTGAACTTGAAGCGCTCGTTGGGAGCTTTGAGAGAGAGAGAGAGAGAGAGAGAGAGAGAGTTGAGAAGAGAGAGAGAGAGAGAGAGAGAGAGAGAGAGAGAGAGAGAGAGAGAGAGAGAGAGAGAGAGAGAGAGAGAGAGAGAGAGAGAGAGAGAGAGAGAGAGAGAGAGAAAGAGACAGAGAAACAGAAAGAGAAAGAGAAAGAGAAAGAGAAAGAGAGAAAGAGAGAAAGAGAGAAAAAGAGAGAGAGAGAGAGAGAGAGAGAGAAGCAAGGGGCCAAGGACAGTTCTCCAAACTATAGTTGTTCACTGCTTTGAAACTTCCGCCCCCCGGCTCTGCCGGACCTTACTTGTACAAAAAGTTGCGGTTTCCCCGCAGAACCCACGTGCTGCGCAGCAATTACAAGAGCAGTCGCGGAAACCACGAGACAACTCCAACAGTCGCAATCCTGTGCGATGACAACAACGCTATTCTGCAAAAACACAAAAGAATATAAGAAACTTAGCGCGAGCCCTCTCACGCCCATTAAGAGTCTTCTCTATAGAAACTACCTCAGTTGGCGTACCGAGCCTCTATGCCAGATTTCTTCCCAAGAACCCGACCTAAGCTACCCAATCTTTCACGTCTTCACGCATACTTTTTGCGCAAACTTTTCACACCCAGACCCACGCCACTCATGCCCAGGCTACGGTAGACGGTGGCTCTGTGCAAGTCAGCTCTGTGCAAGTCAGCTCTGTGCAGATGGCTCTGTGCAACTGACTCTGTGCAAATGGCTCTGGGCAAGTTGCTCTGTGCAAGTCAGCTCTGTGCAAGTCAGCTCTGTGCAAGTGGCTCTACTCAAATGGCTCTGCGCAAGTTGCTCTGTGAGAAACCGTCAAAGGGGGGGAAAGAACATAGTTGATTTTGACCGTCTGCCCGGGCCAAAACAGATTCTGGGCTTGGCCATGTCTTGCCGGACACGCAGCCCTCATGGGATTGCAGGTTTCAGTTGGCTTTCTTCCCAACGCACCCCAAAAGCGGGCTTGACACGACTGACCAATTTGATCTGGTTGATTTAGTGTGTCCCATATTCACCAGGATCAAGGCTTGGGATTTCGCGAAGCCACATCATCCCGGTTGGACCCAGTTGGTTCGTTCGCCTTCGATAACAGGGGGGTTGATATCAGAGATCAATTTCATCACGCGCGGCTCTGAGTCCAGAAGAAAGACAGCCATCCATCATTGGGCATGCCCTTCTTGTGGTACGCCTCCGGTCCTCAGCGCGTCAACCGCGCTAATTTTGAGTTGCACGGAGCTTGGAGCTTGACACCAAACATGGAGCTTGACACCAAACTGCGGGAAATCTAAAATCCCGCCTGAGCAAGGCTTAAGCGCTTTTCCAGACTCTAGCCGCTTCAGCGCTGCAGCAAATCGGCCCACCTCAGGACCAATCCGGGCGCAAACTGTCTGAACGGCGGCCAGTTGAAACTCAATGCAGGGGGATTCGAATGAACACCCAGCCCCCCTCCCAATTCTGCCTTGACAAAGTAGTACCAGCTACTCCCAAAAGAAATCCACGGTTCAACGTGAACTTTCAAGAAGCGGAGCTTAGAAAAATCTCGACCCACGCACAGTTTTTATTTTCTCGGTATGTCCTGAGTTATGGATCCCTTGTCATTTGCTTTTGGTACGGCCCCCGCGCCTCTCCCCCGCACTCCCCTCGGCCACGCCAGGGCGCAGCAGCCTCCGCCAACGCGTCGTAGACCCGACGGTTGTCGTCGCGCAGGGCGCCCAACGAGGCGGGCGCCTGGCCCCAGGGCAACCATCGCCAAAGGGAAGCAACACGGTGCTTGCGTGACAAGGATGTTGCGTAAGGATGGTTGTTGCTTCTGGTGGAAGGTTTTAACAAGGCACGTCAACAGTGAACCTACAGGCGCATACCAGCCCTCAAAGCAGGTTGCGGCATCGTCTCGCCTCGTAGCGGTCCAGGCTGGGGCCGTGGTCTATTGCCTCTCCTACCTGCGCTCGAGGAGTGCACCAGCTCATGGCACCTTCCTTCCTGCCCCTACCTGACTTTAAGCCAAGCAGCCAAGTAGGTGGTATAGCCCTGAGGCAAACCGTGCAACTGCGCCCAAAGTGTGGGGCAGCAGCCGCGGTTCAGGGGCCTCGGCTCCAAACCCCCCAGGCCCATGCGACGCCACCTTGCAAACAACTGCAAACTGACGTAAGGCCAAACAAAACAACTTGTCAAAAGGAGATCCCTCTAAGGCGTTGTTGCTGCTCTTTGTGCCGAAGGGCAAGAGCCCCAGGTGGGTGTTGATGACGCCGTGCCGCGGAGCCTCCAAGAAGGGCTTCTTCAGAATGCCGTCCTAAGTCTTGCGAGGGTTGATTCCCTGTTCCCGGGCATTCGCTTTGGGATGGCCGGCCCCCCTTACTTTTGGGCATCCATGCCTTGCGACCGCAAAAATTGCTCCGTCAAGGAGGCGGAGGCGGAGGCAGAGGCGGAGGCAGAGGCGGAGGCATTGTGATGGATATGCTGTTGCAAAAATGAAACATAACTAAGGGCTGACAACCACTAGGCCTGATGTCTACTTCGGATGAACCCGGAGGAATAGATACGACCCACGTCCCATTCAAATTCCCATGGTAGGGTCCCCGGTTCAAACGGTTGGTGTTCTTTGCCCCTCCAACAATCACTTAAGACTTGCTTGCGGTGCTTTGCCCCAATTTTCTTAAATCCCGCCAACAATCCGCTTGACAACGCCAACCCCGGGAAAAAAGATCTGAAGATCCGAGGGGCATAACCACCGATCACCACCAGATCCGTCTCGCCCGCCCTGGCCACCAGCTCCGCGGAGTTCGCATCCACACTGCCCAGGTAGGGAATGCCTCACCCCACCGCCAAACGGCAACCACCTTACTGATTTTGCCTAGGGGGTTTCTACCTATACAAAGTTGGACCATGCTCGGTCTGCTCTTGTGTGTGCGCCTTACTGATTTCAAGCCACAACACCCTTTCCAATGGGGAATTGTTGTAGGCCTTCGGTCGATTTTGTCTGGTGGTGGGAGGATAACGAGCATGGAACCTGACTGGAGGTGGAAGATCGTGCTCGTCTTTAGGGAGCTTGTTCTAAGGAAAGCCCATCTGGACAAATCAGCCCTGGTTCATGGGGGGGATGCGGCACGAACCTGTTATGCAGCCAGAGCAGCGGTTCACCATGCACAGTTTTTCCTCGGCTCTTGAAAGCTTCGCGAACAGCGACGCCCCAGTTGCCCAGTGCAGTTGAAATACCGGAGTTGACCATTCCGGAGTTGACCATTCTCAGTGGGGAACACACCATACAAAAGAGTCACCGACGGCTCAGTGGCTGCAACCTCCATTCAATTCGCATCTTCGCACTTCGTGCCTGGAAGCTTCCAACTTCGTATCCAAGCCGGATGCATGCGCAGTGTGCTTCTTCTTCGCCGTCGCGAAGGCGACCTCACTTTGAAGCGGCCAGAGGGCTTGCGGACCCCCAGCTGGAAAGCGCCTCAACAGTAAAGCAGCGCTGAGCAGGTTTTGGCGTGCGCGGGTGCCATGGCACGTGCGAGCGCATGTGAACAGGCGCGCTTACGGTTTTTCTTTGGCGTTGGACTTGGCATGGTCCGTCGCAACGCAGAAGCAACGCGCTGCTCCCCGCGCCACGCTTAGCAGGGAAACAAGCAGCGCAGGAGGTCGATTGGGGAGGTCCAATCCGCACTTCGTGGGGGCGGGCTAAGCCGACGCTCGCAAGCTCCGAAACCTCTCGCCTCTGACAAGGAAGTCCGAAAGCAACAACTCAACTCCGAGAAACCCCCAAAAGCCAAAGTGACAAGCAGACCTCTTAGGGCAACCACAAGTTTTCACAATAAGGGACCTAGTGCAAACGCCCCTGTCCCAAGATGTTGGCCACAACTAAGCCGGTGGCAGTGTACCTTTTGATCAGCGTCTCCAGCCTCGGCTCTGACTTCGAGGAAACTGCTCAGAAAAAACAGCAAACATAAAAGTTAAAGATAAGCTCTCTAAAACTTTCAATTAGAGTGAAGCAAATTCTCTGACAAGCTGGCGGCAACTGCCCCCCCTCGAAAGTGAAGGGCCCTGTGTTCAGGGCACGCCCAATGCCCCCAATTGGTTTCCTCGGAAAGCTCAAAGGTCAAGTGGTATTCAAGTCCGTGCCCGTGCAACCACGACACTGGCCCAGGCCATAGTCCTTGGCCGAGCTGCAACGAGCCAAAGAAACATGAATGACATATGTGTTTGTTTCCCTCCGATTGATCAATATGTATTTGTACGTATTTGTGTATATATATATATATATATGTGTGTGTCGATCGTTTTGTTCCATAATATGTAGATTGAAATTCTCTATGTTCCTATACCTATCTCATATTTTGTACATGTTCTACTACTCAGTTAGCCCCCCTCAAATGTCAAATACTTTTTGAAACAATCCAAAACTTTAGAAGAAAAAAAAGTTGAAAAACAAACTGTGCCAGTGGGTTTGTGAGACCTCCTGTGTGAGACTCACTGAGAGTGGAACCCCCACAGCCCTGCCAAAGGCACCGAGACGCCCAGGAAGCCCACCACCCGGATCTCCCGCATTTCCGGCTCTGGCTCCATGGCGAGAAGCGAAAACGCTGGAAATCTTCGCCCCCAATGAACCCCATGGATGGGATATCAACAGCATTTCGTCCAGAAAAAAATGGCGAGACCCTTGAGGTTAGGCCTAAGCTTTATGCACGTTTCAGGGCCAAAGGTGAACAGGGAAAATTGATGGTGAGATGCTGGAAGCGTAAGCTTCGGTGAATTTGATCAGGGTGGGCTCAGTTGGACTTCCATGCGCGCGTGCGAGATGTCTGGCTTGATTCTCCCTGACTACAGAAAATAGAGGAAATCATTGGACAATATAACAATATGTGATTCTTCAGCCCGCTATTTGCCATTAACGCAGGCCTCTTCGCAGTCCACTCTAAGCAAGGCCCAAGCCCAAATCTCAAGCGCTGGAATGCGGTTCCATGAGCACTTTGAGATGCACTTGCAACACGCACCTGCTCGGGCATGCATGTGGCCGTGTAGCGCTTCATTTGTCCCCCCCGCGCCGCTTGTTGCAGCCACGGCCAAGCAGTCACCTGAGCTGCAGGGCAATCCACCTACAGCTCAGACTTTGCAGAAGTCAGCATTCTGAAGATAAGAGGTTCCACATATTTCCATCAGCCTGATGACAAAAATAGTGGCATCTCTCAAGAGTAATGACCCCCGTGGAACAAGGCGTCGCGTTCCCCACCAGCATGCATCCCACAGCCAACCCCGCAAATCCAGGCCGCTCTGTGTTCGACATGCGCGCCGCGTCCAGACCTCCAGATTCACACAAAGTCAGGGTTGAAGCCCTTGTGTACTGCTCAAGCCGCTATTGCTTAAACAGGCTCTTGGATTCAAAGGAAAAGACCTGGCTGTTCGGACGTGGCATCGAGGCCGTGGCCTAACAAATTTAGCTCTCGAGGCCTTTGGGCGGCCGGGCGGGCGGTGGTCTTCTCGCGAGCCAGGTCAAAGGCCCGGGCCGTCTCCTCCTCGGTTCAGGGAGTACGACACGACATCCTCAAAACTGCCCTCCAAATTCTATGTCATCCACGAAAATAGCTTTCAGACACCTTCCACATGTTCGCACTATTAGTACAAAACCACCACTCTCAGCTCGCGTTGCCTGCCTTGCGAGTAAACCCTAAATCTGCAGGCACGCTTGTTTCGCTGTCCTTACATTCTCTCAATGCCTCCTCGTGGGTCAGCACCTGGCTGATGCGTCCACGAGCGAGCGTGTGCCTTCTCCGCAAAGACGATTCCCCGGCGAACCCTGCCTCTGCTTTCACTGTGCCAGCCTTGGCAACATGCAAGAGCTCGAGAACGGCTGTTGACCACTGCCCTTTTGCTAAGAATAGTGCAAGGCTTGCGTTTTGACCGCGCCCCTTAGCAAGGTGTCCTACAAGTTGGTTGAGCATCTGCATGAAGTCAAGGTTTGGCTTGAGGCTCCCTCAGGGAAACAACCTCAAAAGTGCAGAAACTCTCGAGGGCCTTCAGTTTCAAGGCACCGGCCATGGCCGGCCTTTGAAGTTGGGTGGCAGTACACGGCACATCTTCTACAGGCCCTACGTCGGTGGGTCAACCGCCTAACTTCCAAATCAACCTGGAAACAGCTGATAAGCCTGACAATCCGGAGGTTCTTGTGAGATTCGAATTGCTCAAATCTGGAGGACCCTCCAAATACCAAGGAAACCCAGCAATGGCAGCAAATGGCCCAGGAGTTGAACTCCCCTATGGCCTTGCAGGCCGTGTACGAATCTACCCAAAAAGAGGATGAACATATCAAAGTGCTAAAGCAAGAGCCACAACCGGCAGCTCCCGACAAGGGCATCAAACTGGGACTTCTCCGCAGAAGCAGTGGTCAGAAGGATTCCTGTCCGTTGGCCTCCCCGATTTGAGTCGGACGCGATTGGGTTTGGGGTACTTTCTTGGGGAGATTTTCTCAAAATAGGAACCTCAAGAACACACATTTTTTGGGCAACAAATTGCAATACGCTCGCCATGATAAGTAGTGATGCTAATTCGGATGAATGAACGCCCAGCTGCCATCTTTTCGAAGTGCTCCTCGCGCGATCCAAACGCTGACAAGTGGCACCAAACGTCAAGCTGTCCCGAAGGGCCGCTACTTAAAAGGGGCAGGGTACCTATAGTGCGTATCTATCAGTTAGCACTTTTTAGCAGGCGGCACAGTTAGCACATCCCTGGGTTGGCCGGAATGCCCCCGTCAGCCCCGAACAGTTAGCACACACCTGCCACACCCCGAAACCGAAAGGGGCGACCAACAGTTAGCACATGCCTCTCTGGTTGTGGGCAGAGATGCGCTTTCTGAAATGAGCAACTTTCGCAATGTAAAGGAAGTACACTTGGCAGATCCGCCTCAAAAGTCGCAACTTTTCAGCACAAGTGAAGGAAGTACACTTGGCAGATCCGTCTCAAAAGTCGCAACTTTTCAGCGCAAGTGTAGTAAAGGAAGTACACTTTGGCAGCTCCGGCTCGAAAGCCGCAACTTTTCAGCACAACTGTAGTACAGCAAGTACGCATTGGCAGCTCCAGCCCGGACGTCTCAACTTTTCAGTGCAAGTGTAGTACAGGAAGTACGCATTGGCAGCTCCTGCCCGGAAGTCTCAAGTTTTCACTGCAAGAAAGTATGCTTTGGCAGCTCCGTCTCAAAAGTCGCAACTTTTCAGTGCAAGTGTAGTAAAGGAAGTACACTTTGGCAGCTCCGGCTCGAAAGCCGCAACTTTTCAGCACAACTGTAGTACAGCAAGTACGCATTGGCAGCTCCAGCCCGGACGTCTCAACTTTTCAGTGCAAGTGTAGTACAGGAAGTACGCATTGGCAGCTCCTGCCCGGAAGTCTCAAGTTTTCACTGCAAGAAAGTATGCTTTGGCAGCTCCGGCTCGAAAGTCGCAAACTTTTCAGTACAAGTGTAGTGAAGGAAGTACACTTTGGCAGCTCCAGCTCGAAAGTCGCAACTTTTCAGCACAAGCGTAGTAAAGGAAGTACATGTTGGCGGCTCCGGCTCGAAAATCGCAACTTTCCAGCACAAGGAAAACATTTTGGCGGCTCTGGCTCGAAAATCGCAACTTTCCAGTACAAGTGTAGTAAAGGAAGTACGCTTTGGCAGCTCCAGCCCAGAAATCAACTTTTCAGTACAAGTGTGGTAAAGAAAGTACACTTTCACAGCTCCGGGCTCGAAAGTCGCAACTTTTCAGCACAAGCGTAGTAAAGAAAGTACATGTTGGCGGCTCCGGCTCGAAAATCGCAACTTTTCAGCACACGTGTAGTATAGTGCGTATCAATCAGTTAGCACTTTTTCCTAGGCAGATAGCACATTACTGTGTTGGCCGGAATGCCCCCGTCACCCCTGAACAGTTAGCACACACCTTCCACACCCTGAAACCCAAAACAGCGGTCAACAGTTAGCGCATGGGGCTCTCTGGCTTTGGGCAGGCGAACAGAACATCAAAGGGCTACATACGCTTTCTCGAATGTTCATGGAAGCACACGTGTCAAATCTTCACTAAGCGTAGAAACTTGCAGAACCCAGTGAGCCTATGATGGAGGAAGGGTGTGCGGTGGACTGGCTTACATGGAGCTTGCGTAGATAGGTGATGCTTTACTTGGCCCTAGTACTATGTTGAACGTTATTATTGTGTTACAGTGTTTTCGAACTTTGGCAGCTCCGGCTTGAAAATCGCAACTTTGTAGCACAAGTCTAGCTACGCGAAGTACACTTCCGCAGCTCCAGATCGAAAATCCCAACTTTGTAGCACACAAGTCTAGCAAGCGAAGTACACTTCCGCAGCTCCAGCTCGAAAATCGCAACTTTGTAGTGCAAGTCTAGCACGCAAAGTGCACTTCCGCAGCTCCAGCTCGAAAATCGCAACTTTGTGGTACAAGTCTAGTACGCGAAGCACACTTCCAAATCGCAACTTTCTAGTGCAAGTCTAGTGCGCGAAGCACACTGCCGCAGCTCCAGCTCGAAAATCGCAACTTTGTAGTACAAGTCTAGTACGCGAAGTGCACTTCCGCAGCTCCAGCGCGAAAATCGCAACTTTGTATAGCACAAGCCGAGCACGCGCGAAGAACACAAGTCGCGACTCGCCTTAGCGCTTTACGGCGGCCGCGCAAGGGTCCCACCCCAACTAAGCTGCAACTGCAGGGGTTATTGTAGAGCCACGTGTTAACTAACGGTTATCGTTTTTGGGGGAGACCTTATCGTTGTCCGTGGCTTTTTGGAGTCGTAGGCCAAAGCGTACCCCCTTTACCAAAGTGGTCTACACGTGTTTTGTCCGTGGCTCTTTTGTGTCCCACGACTCCCCAGGGTGAAAGACAAGAGTTTGCCAACATACAAATGGATTGCCTGGTGCTAAATTCTAGCGCGTTGACGTGTGGAAATCCAGCAATGCAGCTCCGGCTCGCAAGTCGCAACTTTTCAGTACAAGTGCAGTAAAGGAAATACACTTTGGCAGCTCCGGCTCGAAAGTCGCAACTTTTCAGTACAAGGAAACTTTGGCAGCTCCGGCTCGAAGGTCGCAACTTGTCAGTACAAGCGCAGTAAAGGAAATACACTTTGGCAGCTCCGGCTCGAAAGTCGCAACTTTTCAGCACAAGGAGATACACTTTGGCAGCTCCGGCTCAAAGGTCGCAACTCGTCAGTGCACTTTTCAGTACAAGTGTAGTAAAGGAAATACGCTTTGGCATCTCCAGCTCAAAGGTCGCAACTTGTCAGTACAAGTGTAATAGACAAAGTACACTTTGGCAGGCAAACGTACAAACGCTCGGGCTCCCGCTTGGGGCGGCACGGATGCCACGCAACAGGCGTCAGCAAATGGAAGAGCAACCGCGTTCGAGTTTCTGCTCGGGCCGAGCACGGGTGCCACGCAAGGGCACAAGCAAAGGCAAGCGAAGCCACGCTCGCAATCCCGCTCGGATCCCGCTTGGGCCGAACGCGGATGCCACGCAAAGGCGTCAGACCCTCTTGCGGAAGCCATACAGTTAGCACACGCCAGACCCTCTTGCACCTCGCTTGGCCGTGTCAGCCAGCCAGGATGCAACCGCGCTTCTCCTACAGTATTTGTCGTTTCCTGCAACGGCAGCCCAACTGTCTTGATAATTAAATTTGGCTTTGGGATTCACAAACAACAGGCGCCCAAAAGCCTGGCAACTCCACCTGAAAGCCTGGTAACTCCAACCCTAAAGCAATGCTTCCTGCGACTTGAAAGGGTGCCCGTAGAATAAAACGACACTATCAAGAAGCTTGCATTGTCCGAGTTTTGCGTCCAAACGCAAACACAATATCGTAGCAAAACAGTTGCGCCACCAAGTTTCGAAGTGAAGCTGACTTGGGCACCGTGTACAAGCTTTACCCGCAAGACAAAGACAAGTCCATAATCATGAAGAAACACCGTGCCCTGGTTTTACTCTTGAAAGCCCACAAGTTTTGCCGGGGCCGCGCCCGCAAACAGGCTTGGGATCCCGCTCGGGCCGAGCACATACGCCGCGCAAAGGCGCCGGTAAGGACCAAAGCAAAGCAGACACGCTCGGGATCCCGCTCGGGCCAAACACGTGCGCCGTGCCAAGGTGCAGGTAAGGACCAACGCAGCCACGCTCGGGAGTCCACTCAGGCCAACTATGGATGCAGCGCGCAGGCGTAGCCCGCTCGGGATCCCGCTCGGCCCGAGCACGAGTGCCACGCAACGGCAAGAGCAAAGGCAAGCGAAGCCAATCCCGCTCGGGGCGAACGCGGATGCCTCGCAAAGGTGTCACTTGCGGAAGCCATACAGTTAGCACACGCCAGATTCTCTTGCGCCTCGTTTGGCCGTGTCAGCCAGGACTCTTCGCATTACGCTTGCCAACGCGCTTCTCCTACAGTACTCGGTGTTTCCTGCAACGGCAGCCCAGCTGTCTTGATAATTGAATTCGGCTTTCGGAAATAAAAAGCACGGGCAGCCTTAACTCCACCCCTAAAAGCCTGACAACTCCACCCCTATAGCAACGCTTCCTGCGACTTGAAAGGGCGCCCGTAGCAAAAATACACGACATTACCAAGAAGCTCGCATTGTCCGAGTGTTGCACCATGTTGCATCCAAATGCAAATGCATTATCGTAGCGGAACAGTTGGGCCATCAAGTCCCGAACTCAAGCTGGGCTATAGGACACTGTGTAAAAGCCTTACCAGCAAGAAAACAACAAGTCCATAATCCTGAAGAAACACCGTGCTCTGGTTTCACTCTTGAAAGCCCACAAATACGCTCGAAGTTTTGCCGGGGCCGCGCCCGCAAACAGGCTTGAGGCCCCGCCTGGGCCGAGCACAGACGCCGCGCAAGGCGCTGGCAACGCGCAGGCGGCTGAAACAACCAAAACGGCCAGGCTCGCTAGCCCGCTCGGGATCCCGCTCGGGCCGAGCACGGATGCCACGCGAAGCACCGCTCGGGATTTCCGGGGGCGAGCGCGGATGCCACGCAAAGGCGTCACTCTTGTGGAAGCCATGCAGTTAGCACACGCCAGACCCTCTTGCGCCTCGTTTGGCCGTGTCAGCCAGGGCTCTTTGCATCACGCCTGCCAACCCGCTTCTCTACTGCTATGTGTGTTGACAATTGAATTTGGCTTTGGGATTCACAAACAACGGGCCCCTATAAAAGCCTGGCAACTCCACCCCCAAAAAGCAATGCTTCTTGCGACTTGAAAGGACGCCCGTAGCAAACATCAACATCAAGAAGCTCGCGTTGTCCGAGTGTTGCATCATGTTGCATCCAAACGCAAACGCATTATCTCAGCGGACAGTTGGGCCCATGTAAAAGCTTTACCCGCAAGAAAAGGACAAGTCCATAATCCTGAAGAAGCACCGTGCTCTGATTTTACTCTTCAAAGCCAACAAATACGCTCGAAGTTTTGCCGGGGCCGCGCCTGCAAACAGGCTTGGGATCCCGCTCGGGCCGAGCAGCTGGTAAACGCTCGGGATCCCGCTCGGGCTAAACCCGCAAGGCGCAGATAAGGACCAACACCGTCACGCTCGGGAGTCCACTCGGGCCAGCTATGGATGCAATGCGCAGGCGCCTGCAAGGACCAAAACGGCCAGGCTCGCTAGCCAGCTCGGGATCCCGCTCGGGCCGAGCACGGGTGCCACGCAAGGAAAAAGCAAAGGCAAGCGAAGCCACGCTCGGGATCCCGCTCGGGATCCCGCTTGGGGCTGCCACGCAAAGGCGTCACTAGTGCGGAAGCCATACAGTTAGCACACGCCAGACCCTCTTGCGCCTCGTTTGGCCGTGTCAGCCACGCCTGCCAACCCGCTTCTCTACTGCAATAGCTGTCTTGACAATTGAATTTGGCTTTGGGATTCACAAACAACGGGCGCCTTGGCAACTCCACCCCTAAAGCAATGCTTCTTGCGACTTGAAAGGACGCCCGTAGCAGACATCAACATCAATGCGTCCAAACGCAAACGCATTATCGCAGCAGACAGTTGGGCCCGTGTAAAAGCTTTACTCGCAAGAAAAAGACGAAGCACCGTGCTCTGATTTTACTCTTCAAAGCCCACAAATACGCTCGAAGTTTTGCCGGGGTCGCGCCCGCAAACAGGCTTGGGATCCCGCTCGGGCCGAGCACAGATGCCGCGCAAAGGCGCTGGTAAGGACCAAAGCAGACATGCTTGGGATCCCGCTCGGGCCAAACCCGTGCCAAGGCGCAGATAAGGACCAACACCGCCACGCTCGGGAGTTTAATGCAACGCGCAGGCGCCTGCAAGGACCAAAGCGGCCAGGCTCGCTAGCCCGCTCGGGATCCCGCTCGGGCCTTGCAGAGGCAAGCGAAGCCACGCTCGGGATCCCGCTCGGGATCCTCGGGGCGAACGCGGATGCCACGCAAAGGCCGGAAGCCATACAGTTAGCACACGCCAGACCCTCTTGCACCTCGCTTGACCGTGTCAGCCAGGACTCTTCGCATCACGCTTGCCAGCGCGCTTCTCCTACAATATTTGCCGTTTCCTGCAATGGCAGCCCAACTGTCTTGATAATTGAATTTGGCTTGGGGGTTCACAAACAATGAGCCCCTAAAAGCCTGGCAACTGCACCCCTAAAAGCCTGCTTCTCCACCGCTAAAGCAATGCCTCCTGCGACTTGAAAGCGCGCCCGTAGTAAAACGACTGACATTATGAAGAAGCTTGCTCTGTCCGAGTGTTGCATCATGTTGCGCGCAAACGCAAACGCATTACCGTCCCGAATGGGCTAGGACACCGTGTGGAAGCTTTACCCGCGAGAAAAGACAAGTCCATCATCCTGAAGAAACACCGTGCTCTGGTTTTACTCTTGAAAGCTCACAAACACTCTCGAAGTTTTGCCGCGCAGAGAGGCTTGGGATCCTGCTCGGGCCGAGCACAGACGCTGCGCAAAGGCGCTGGTGAGCACCAAAAGCAGACACAGTCGGGATCCCGCTCGGGCCAAACACGTGCGCCGCGCCAAGGCGCAGATAAGGACCACTCGGGCCAACTACTATGGATGCAACTCGCAGGCGGCTGAAAGGACCAAAACGGCCAGGCTCGCTAGCCCGCTCGGGATCCCACTCGGGGCGAGCACGGGTGCCACGCAAAGGCGTCAGACCCTCTTGCCGAAGCCATACAGTTAGCACACGCCAGACCCGCTTGCGCCTCCTTTGGCCGTGTCAGCCACAAATGTTCGCATCACGCTTGCCAACGCGCTTCTCCTACAGTTTTTGCCAAGCAGACACGCTCGGGACCCCGCTCGGGCCAAGCGCATCAGTCCTGAACGATCCGCTACCTCGCCACCACCCCTGTCATGCGGGGCGCCTTGCGACAGCGAGAAGAATCGCCACGCTCGGGAGTCCACTCGGGATGCAACGCGCAGGCGGCTGAAAGGACCAAAACGGCCAGGCTCGCTAGCCAGCTCGGGATCCCGCTCGGGCCGGCTACGGGGGGCCTTGGCGGGCAAACTTTAAAACTTTCACGAGCCCGCTCGGGAGAAACGCGGATGCCACGCACAGGCATGTGCGAACGCGAGCGCAAACGCACTTGGGCTTCCGCTCAGGCTAAGCAAGCTTCAAGAATCCGCTCAGGCTGAACTTGTAAGGCCAAACATACGGCCAAACCTCTGACTTACAGTTAGCACACGCCAGACCCTAGCGCCTTCTCAGCTGGTGTCAGCCAGGACTCTTCTGATCATCACGCTTGCCAACGCGCTCCTCCTAACTACAGTCTTTGCCCTTCACTGAAATGGCAACGCAGCAGTTTTAGTGCGTGGCATGCACCCCCATTATTCGGCGAAGGGCGCGCTTCTCCCTTAGGTGCATCCATCGGCGCAACTGCGGCACCCCCCCCAGAATTTTTCGAAGTAAAGATGATTCTGTCATGGCACCCTGCAACAGCACCCTGCGCAACTCTGCAGCACCCTGCGTCTCGTCCTGCCTTCCTTCCTTCCTTCCTTCCTTCCTCCCTCCCTGCCTTCCTTCCTTCCTTCCTTCCTTCCTTCCTTCCTTCCTTTGCTTCCTTTGCTTCTTTTGCTTCCTTTGCTTCCTTTGCTTCCTTTGCGTCTTTTGCTTCCTTTGCTTCCTTTGCTTCCTTTGCTTCCTTTGCTCCCTTTGCTTCCCTTGCTTCCCTTGCTTCCCTTGCTTCCCTTGCTTCCCTTGCTTCCCTTGCTTGCTTCCTTGCTTCCTTGCTTCCTTGCTTCCTTGCTTCCTTGCTTCCTTGCTTCCTTGCTTCCTTGCTTCCTTGCTTCCTTGCTTCCTTGCTTCCTTGCTTCCTTGCTTCCTTGCTTCCTTGCTTCCTTGCTTCCTTGCTTCCTTCCTTCCTTCCTTCCTTCCTTCCTTCCTTCCTTCCTTCCTTCCTTCCTTCCTTCCTTCCTTCCTTCCTTCCTTCCTTCCTTCCTTTGCTTCCTTCGCTTCCTTCGCTTCCTTCGCTTCCTTCGCTTCCGTGCTTCCTTCCGTCCTTGCTTCCAATGCCCATGTAAAGCTATTTTGATGCCAAGCCTTATTTCAAAGACCTTGAGCAATCCGACTGCCAGACTAGTTGGAGTGCTAACTGTTGGGCCTCAACCACGGCTTGGGAAAAAAACGCTGCGCAAGCGCCCAAACAGTTAGCACTCAACGTTGGAATGCCGTGTGCTAACTGATTGATACCCACTATAGTATATAAGTAATAACCATGGTTATAACTTCAGAAGTTATAACCCACTTGCCATGGCTGATTTCTAGCCACTTGCCAAGTACCCTGCCCCGTTAAGTAGACTATGACATGGCGCCGCTCCTTCTCTGCCTTGGTGGAGTTGATCTCCTCAAGGACCTGATGGGAAGACATGTGCTCGTGAAGCAGGAAAACGAGTGAGAACAATGTCGTTGCAACTCTGCAAATTCGTTAAACAGCGGGCAAGGAGTCCAGCCCGAAATCGCAAGCCAACGCAAGCATCAAAAACCGGCTTACCTCCCCTCTCCCAGCGCCTTGGAAAGCCGCTCCGCCTTCTCATTTTCCTCACGCATTCGCGCGTTCACATCCTCGAGGTCTCTCTGCGTCTGCGCCTGCACTTCAGGGGTCCATGGCCAACTGCTGTAGCTTTAACGCCAGGCACCAGCCACACCTCGGCGGCTTCTTCCCTCTCGGAGATGGCCCCCACTGCTTTGGTGAAGCCAGACAGCCTGAGACGTCCGAGCTGCTTGTCAACCCTGTCGGGCCAGAGGAAGCTCGAAAAGTTGATGGTGTATGTGTTGGAAACCTGCCCATCATCTTTTCCCCTTAATCTTTTCCCCTTATAAATCCTGGTTCATAGCTCGGGAAGGGCCCAACAACTAGTTCCTGAGAAGTGCCTGAAAGTGCACCCCCGAGAATCCCCTTCCCCACCTGCACTTCCAACGGGTTGTTGCCCCTTTACATCTCCGACGTTTACACTGTCCGGCTTCCAGTCACCCAAACCACGATGCGCCCCCGAAGTGCAGGCGTGGCTCTTGGAGGTCACCGTGCCCAGCTCCGCCTGCAGCCCGTCCTGACCGAAACGGTAAGATGCCCACGACGTTTCAGACATGGCTGTGGGTCAAAAATATGTATATACCCAAAATAAAACCCTGGTAAGTGGAAACACGGACCGCTGGTGGTTTAATTTTGACCCATACCCCACATCCGCTGCTCTATCAAACCACTGCAAGTGCCAAACTGCTAAGACCACCTGGTTTTTTTCTTCCCTCCCCCGGTGGGACCAAAAGCTTCTCCATCCCTCGAGCCCTCGGATCCCTCGGATCCGCTGGCCTGGGCCTTCTGCAGCTGCGCCATGCTGGTGGCTGAGGCCTCCTGCAGCTCCTCCCTGGGGAGTTTCAACAAACGGAACCCGCAGAACCTCCTGTCACCCGACCGCGAGGAAGCGCTTTGCTGCCCGGTTCAGTGGGGGTTGAAGTACGAGACCTAGCACTTGCGGGCCTAACTTGACTATGGTAAGGGCAATGACCTGGGAAGCCCAGTCACCGAGTTCCCGTGCCGAATGGCTCTATTTTGGGATAGTTGATGTTGGAAGGAAACTGCACAACTGAACGGAACTGGACAAGTAGGTAGGTTCTCTTCATCAGAGGGACCCCAACTACTTGCAAAGGGAAGGTAAGTTCCTTTGTCCATACAGGCTGCGCTGCTTGGACTAGAGTCTGGATCTCAGCCGGGCAGCGTCATTTTGCGGTGCTCCTGGCAGGTGAAAGAAAGCATTGCCAACGACCCTGGCAGAGAAAGGACATCGAGTTCCACTTGTAGTGCGAAGCCACCAAACAAGTTTAGAGGGTGCCACTGAACAGCTGGTGTTGCGAAACTAGTATTTGTTGAAAAATGGAACACATTGGCCATTGAAGGAGGGGGCCTCAAAATCAAGCAAAAGACTGAGATCTTCTTTTGGCAGACCGACCCTTTGCGGCATAATTTAGGAGGAAGAAAAGGATTGGGGCCTGCACCAGCGCTTTCTGCTGCGCCAGGATCTTCTGGACTGTGGCTTCCAGCACAGTGACCTCCTCACGACGCGCCACAGGCTCGATCCAAGCGTGCGAGTTGAGTCTTTGGATGCCTTTGCCTGGGGTGGTTTCTGTTGCCAAACCCCACCCGCACGCGTTCAAAAAAATGCCCCCCTCCCACCCCCGAAATATCTCCAAGGCCAGTACGTGCTGGTTTTGGTGTTCTGCAAGCGGTGTTTCTTTTCTTTGGGGGGGGGATGTCTCAGGATAGTTGTTTCTTCAGATGCCTGGCTCTCAAGAAGACGTAACTGAACTTGCAAAATATTTAGAGCAAATGGCAGTCCTCCCTCATGCGGTCGATCTCCTCCTCATGCTCAGCTTCATGGCCAATGCTAAGCCCTGATTGATGCCCCACAGTTAGTTCCTTGCTTCCAGAATCAAATCCCCCGAGCACTGGTTCGTTCAACGAACCAGGGGTTGACCTAGACAGAAGCAGAAAAGCATCCGCATGCCTGGCTCACGGGGCTCAAGTCTGCGCACCTCAGCTCCAACAGCTGGGCGCTGGCAAGAAAGAACTGCAGTCGGGGAGCCCCAAGCGGACAGCCAGGAGGAGCAAGCACTTCATGCCTGGCATGGTCCAACGGCTTACTTTGTCGGAGGGGACGCCCTGCTTTGCCACAAATCCTCCCACGCCAACCAACCAACAAGCGCGCTTGAAATCAAGTACTGCCCCTGAAAACACGAGGCTGCCGGTGCCCTAGCGCAAAGCATGCCAGCGGGACCTGCCCCAAACGACATGGATGAAGATAGCAAGCTACGCCCTGCTTGAACCATGATACCATCAATGCCGTTTGGCCAACTTTCAGAGGTCAATATGCTGCCGAAAATGCACTGGGCGCTGCAAGCCCACGCTTGCTTACCGAGAGGCAGTGGCTGCTGTTGCCGTACCCAACGTAGGTCCGGTGCCCCTCTGACATCCACCAGTTTTTTCCACTTCAGGCACGCGTGTCTAACGCCGCCCGTGTGTCAACTTTTGAATTCCTCCGCCTGGGCAAGGCAATTGTGCCGATCGTATTGGACCCCCCTGACAAAAACCAGAGAACCCCGCACTGCAAGATCCTTCGTAACAACCACTGAACCCAGAAGATTGTTCCAGCCCAACACAAGCCTTCCACACCCCCCAAAACAGAAACGTGTTTTTTCCGAAAGGGTTTCGAAGCCCCGCTAGAAGCGGGGCGAAACTTCGTGGCTCTCTGGGCTCCGAGGCCGCGGCCGTGTCGGTCTCCATCTTGGCCTCAGCTGCCGCCCTCGAGGAGAAGCTCTCGATCATCTCATCCAGGTCTTCGTCGATCTGCTCCTCGTACTTGATATGGCATTTGATATTCACCATCATAGTAACAATTCTAGGGATGACCATAGGAACAATAGGAATACTACTGATGACAACCACGACTTGTCATCAGTCTATTGTCGTGTCTCATTTCTTGAATGCTTATGTTTGCCCATTCTTGTAGGGTTGAGCGGAGATCGGAAACGCGTTCCTTTTGGCAACTGATATGCGCGATAAGCGCGATCTACACTTTTGCTTGGTGCCGGCCTGCACGCCCCTCCCAACATCCGGGCACGGCAGTCTGACTGACCGGCTGTCTGGAATGGTGTCCAACGCGAAACAGTGCTGGCGGATCCATGTTCCGCATTCAGTTCCACCTTGTCCGTCAAGTGAATCTCAATGGGCTCCCAGTTTTGGCCAACTGGACCAGAATGTTTGGCGCATCTGGGGGTGGAAGGTAGGGGGCCGTAATTGACACGTGTCTATTAAAATGGCGTGGCCGAGCGGGTCCTTGGCGTCATCCATGGCGTTGGCGGCGAACACCTGAGGGGCCGGCGGCTAGCACTTGCAGCTACGGGCAGCCCCAAACTGGCCCGCCTTGCATTGAATCAGCTCGCTCTTCTTGTCGGCCAGGGTGGATTTGTGTTCCATGACCTGCGCACGTGCTCCGATTCATCCCCATGGCTCGGCCCAAAATACCCACGGCTTGGCCGCGAGGGGCGCAATGCAAGGAAGCTCCGAAGCTCTCGACTCTCGCCTCCAGGTCCAGGGCATTCTTAGAGTTCTGCAGGTCCTCAGGGGCGCGTTTGAAACCGAACCCCCGACCTCATGTGGGTCATCATGGTTTGCTTCGAATTCTTCTTCGTGGTAAAGGCATGTTCTGACCGCGGCCCATTTAACCTGTTGCCAAGTGACCGTAGTGGAAAAGCGAAGGCCCTTCTTTGGACTGACAATTTTGTTTGTGCCCGGAGAGACCACACACGGGGTGGAAAGTACATGGCTCGATCTCCTTCATGTTGGTCAGTGAAGCCCTCTACTTTCACGCAAGTGGTGCGTGCCAAGCCCCAACATGCCCTGGCCAAGCGGCTGTGAGGCTGGCCAGAGCTACATCCAGCTGCCTTGGATATTCGGTACGTGAGCGGTTTTCGACCCAAGCCAATCCCGTCTGGATGTGCCACTGAGGGAAATGGTCACGGTACATGTTAGTGAACGCGGGGGGCACCTCGATACTGAAAGGGACCAATAACTGACCTGAATTGGCTGTAAAATACTGTAAAACCAAGCTGTTGGCAATGGGGGGGAGACTGTTAGCTACTCTTTAACCTCTGACATTCTATCTTCAATACCTCCACTACGGCAAATGCCTTTGTTAGGAGTCCGTGGTTGGATGTGGTTGGTGTAGCCACGGTCGATTCCCGGCCAACTGTAGCAAACAGAAAGTTTACAATGTGTCCCTTGCTTCCAAAATATTTGCAATATCTGGTTGTGTCTCAAACTGTGAGACCCCTAAGCGTGATGTTTTCCCATACAAGGTGCAGAAAGTTTGCTGATTTCTTGCGGCGTTCCTTTCAGGGACTACCATTCCCTTGGACTTGGATGTGTCTTTGATTCCTGACGTTCTGTCTCCCATTGGAAGACCTCTTGACCCCCAGCTCTTGGGCCAATCAACCGTCGAGCGCGCCAGCATCAAACAGTCTGCCTCATTTTAATCTCATCAAAACAGGATCACACCAAAAGAAGAATTCCTGAAACGCTGGCTTTGAGGGTTCGATACTGATCTGCAAGTGGGGCAACTTAAAAGAAAAGCCCACTCATTCATCCAGTGTACCCTAGGCTGCCCAGATGGGCCAACCGAAGACCACCGCGCATACACGTCAGTTCCATCGCCAAATCGAGATCATCTCTCTTTATTTGGCTATGGGTCAAAAATACGCAAAATGAAACCCCGGTAAATTGCACCAAGGAGTAAAACCTGCGGTCCCCTGGCGGTTTAAATTTTACCCATACCCATTTGAAGGCCCTTTGAGGGCTCTAACAGGAAGCCAATGAGTTGGAAGCCAAAACTCGGGCGGTTTTCCGGTCAGAGCTGCCTCTCCATGGCCTCTACCGTGCCGCTCTCCGCGGCGAGGTCCAGCTCAGAGCTGGTTTCTGCCTGCGAGGCCCGCTGCATCTTTCAGAAAAGAAAAAGAAAAAGTGTCCGCACTCCGCACCAATCAAAATCAAGGCAGAATATAATAAACTTGTGTGTTGGCTTGTGTGTGTGAATGTGAATTTGAACGTGTGCGCATGTGAGTGACTTTTGTGTGCTATAAAAACGCTTGTTGACTTCTGGATTGCAGGCCCGGTGTCAATGCCCAAAACCCTTGAGCGAATCAATGCCCAGGCCTGCTGAACCTTGCTGGCAGCCGTGACTTTCAAGGGAAGTTCCAAACATGAAAACAAGTGTGTGGGGGGGGGGGGGGGGTTGGGGAATGTCAGGACTCTCTCTTTACTTCTGTCGATGTCACTATTGTTCAGGGAATCTGCAAAACGAGCGTCGTAGGTCGTAGGTATCGTATGCTCTCCAAATGTAGCTCCACCAACGGGATTCTCTTGAAGGTGTATGGAATCCACCAAGCGGTTTCTACAACTGCTTTTCACCCGATTTTACCCTGGCAGGGGGATCCTCATCTTAATACATTCTTGAGGACAAGTTTGCACGTGGGGGATCCACTCTCCGCCTGGCCTGCCGCACATTCTTGCCCGCAGAAGCAGCCTGGTCCTGAGGCGAAGAAACCGTGTGCCTGGTGTGCCTTTGCTCGCCCGCAACTATAGAGGGGCATGATTTCCCACATTCACGCATACAAGTCAAGGCAAAGAAATATATGAACATGCTATTGATGCATGCAGGCACACCCATCTTGGATTGTCCTCTGGGCTTGGCGAATACCCACTAAACCTGGGGAGTCTAGAAAAATCAATCAAGGGAAAACAAAGAAAGCAAATTCAGCACCCAGCCAAACTCACTGAGCGCTTCCGATATTCAGGCCCACACTTGCTTGTGCTGTTCGCATGAACATGTATATGTGTGCCATGTTGTTTCACTGTTTGCTCAGACGTTTCTGCCTTTGTTTAACACACTTGATATTCATGCTAGTCTTCCTGCAGATAGCGGTCTCTACGCACACGCTTGCCAGCCACAAACACAAAGCAAGGAGCCACCTTGCCAAAGGTAGCAAGTAGCACGTTTGGCTGGTCCCCACTTTGCGGACAGTGAGATCGCCCCAACAGCTGCAAGCTCTGCAATCCAAAAATAGAAGCGGGGGGCAAAACGAAGCCAGCCATTAACTCAAATAGAAAGACCGGTATCTGCATTCTCCGAGCCACCACATACACAAGCAGCTGCGTGCTGGTTTCTGCGTTGCGTTCCGGAGGGGGGCGGAGCCAATGCTCTGTAATTCCCGGGCGCTAGGAACAACTCCATGATTTCCCCCGAGGTTCCACGGAGCTCTGCATGAAGTCCCGCAGCAGCTGCTGGTCCTGACGCATGTCCTCGAACTGCTCCGCCAGCGCCTGCACCGTTTGCGGCCGGAAGGTGGGGAACACCTGCTGGCCAGCCCCAAAACTTGAGTCATGGAAGTGGAGGCTTTCTAGGATCGTGTCTGGGAGAGTCTTCCAAGCCCCTGTTCATATACATTGGATAAGGGGCGACAAAACAAAGTGGAAACATGATGAAGATCTCGATGCCTCAATCAGGGGAGTGCGTCCTTTTCCCGCGGCAACCCTCCACATTTTAAGAGCACAATAGATCTATTGATTCAATTGCCTGCCCGCGAAGGGAAATGAAATCACAAATTCCAGGGGCAAGCCAATTCCATGTCTCAAGGAGGTGGGCTGAGGTCACAGCCCCTCAATGCTCATGGCTCGCTTTTCTTGCTCAAACGCGCCACTCTTCGAAGCTTTGGTCGGCAAAGCCCCAGCTGCCGTCCAAGCCTAGGGGATGTAAGGCTTCTCTGTCTGCCTCTCTGTCTCTGTCTCTCTGTCTCTCTGGCGGGCGAACCGAGGTATGTATGTATGTATGTATGCATGCATGCATGCATGCATGCATGTACATGTACATGTACATGTACATGTACGTGCGTGTACGTGTATGTACGTAGGTACGTAGGTACGTATGTACGTATGTACGTATGTACGTGCGTACGTACGTACGTATGTATATATATATATATATACATATATATATATGCATGTATGTATGTGTGTACGTGTGTATGTATGTATTATGTATGTATGTATGTATGTAATGTAATGCAATGTAATGTAATGTAATGTAATGTAATGTAATGTAATGTAATGTATGTATGCATGCATGCATGCATGTATGTATGTATGTACGTGTGTATGTATATATGTATGTATGTATGTATGTATGTATGTGTGTGTATGTGTGTATGTGTGTATGTGTGTATGTGTGTATGTGTGTATGTGTGTATGTGTGTGTGTATGTATGTGTATGTGTGTATGTGTGTATGTATGTATGTATGTATGTATGTATGTATGTATGTATGTATGTATGTATGTATGTATGTATGTATGTATGTATGTATGTATGTATGTATGTATGTATGTATGTATGTATGTATGTATGTATGTATGTATGTATGTATGTATGTATGTATGTATGTATGTATGTATGTATGTATGTATGTATGTATGTATGTATGTATGTATGTATGTATGTATGTATGTATGTATGCATGCATGCATGCATGCATGTATGTATGTATGTATGTACGTATGTACGTGTGTATGTATGTATGTATGTATGTATGTATGTATGTATGTATGTATGTATGTATGTATGTATGTATGTATGCAGGCATGCATGCATGCATGCATGCATGCGTGCATGCATGTCTGCATGTCTCTGTCTCTCTCCTGTCTCTGTCTGTCTGTCTGTCTGTCTGTCCGTCTGTCCGTCTGTCCGTCTGTCCGTCCGTCCGTCCGTCCGTCCGTCCGTCCGTCCGTCCGTCCGTCTGTCTGTCTGTCTGTCTGTCTGCCTGTCTGTCTGTCTGTCTGTCTGTCTGTATATGTGTGTGTGTATGTGTGTATGCATGCATGTCCGCCTGTACTAGATTATGTGCGTATCTGTCTGTCTTGTCTTGTCTTGTCTTGTCTCGTCTGATGTCGTCTGGTCTTGTCTTGTCTTGTCTAGCTATCCATGCATGCATGGCATTTATCTTAGTCAAGAGGCCGATTTCTGTCTTCAGCGGCACAAAGGGGTTGTCGCACACCTCTTGGAAGTTCTTGTCGGTGATGACCCAGCGGGTGCTTGAACGAACTCTATTAATACCTGCCACTTGCACATGGGCCCTCGACCCCGCAGCAGCTGTTCATCATGATGCGTGGCCCAAGCTCTATCTTTGATTCATCGTAGTAGAAGCAGGCTTAAAATATCGCAATTTGTCTGCAGGGAAAACCTCCAAAATTGGGTGGCTTGCCTGGAGCTGTCCTTCCAAACAACCAGAGAGGGCACCCTCACAACGAATGGACAGCGCCGACCTTAAGGCAAACATGCTCAAGGGAAGCCGCCAAGCTTCTCACACGCGTTGCCAAGCCAAGGCACGTTGGTGATTCCTCACTTGCTCCGATGGGAAAAGACAAACTTGCCCCCAATTTGGCCTGATTCATCCGAAAGGGGAACCCATGAAAGAAAAGGACAGATCGGGAACCCTGCCGCAAGAGAAAAATCAAAAGCCCGGGAACAAGCAGAACTGGACAGCCAGGGCTCTGGTGGACTGTGAGGCACGGCGGCTGCAACACCACTTGCCGCGCACCAAAGGCGCGCAGACGGCAGTGGATCAGGTCGTCTGTCTGCCAGTTCTGCGCCACCTGCACGGAATATCTCTTCGCAGGAGGGGAGCAACCCAATCCAACAAAGTGCCCTATGTCTCTTTTTTAGGCAGAAGCCCTCAATGAATTGGCAAAAACAGTGATGCGTAACATTAAAAGACGACAAACATGCAGAAATGTACGGCAAAGACTACAACGAATGGTTGATTTGTTCCGTTCCTCAAAGACAACGTGGAAGATTCGTTGGACTGGCTTGCGTGATTAGGGGCTTCCCCCCCCCGGTCCTGCCGCAAATGTCAGTTGCTGGCATGTTCCTTGTGATGGGACCTGCTTGACGCTTGACCCCACACGAGATTCCGAAAAGGTGGTGGTCAACAACCACTCGGGGGGAAACTATAGGGACTATCCCCCTTCCAAAAAACAACGACTCGCCGCCCTCCCCACCTCCGGGTAACCCCGCACAGCGAGGATCAGTTGCTTGCTGGCGAGAACGAAATCCCCGCTCCCCGGCCAGTAGAAAGGTCGCTTCATGTCCTTTTCTTCTGGCCGGTGGCCCGACATGCACACGGCCGCGTCCTCCTGAGGCAGGCTTCGGGTTTTGGCATGCCATGTTGCAGAGGCCCCCTCTCCGCTTGCCGTCATTACACTTCCTGGGCAAAACCCGTGTAGCATAACATGGCCCAAAGATCAGGTTGGCTTAAAAGAAGAAACACCAATTGGTGGGGGGGGAGCTATTTTGACACACTGTTTGTCCGAGCGTCGGGATACTTTGCCCGAAGGTCCGCCATCTCCAGGTTCATATTGGTGATCAAATCCTCCCGTGAAAACAGCCATTCGATCAGTGCGTCCGCCGCCAGGCCTTCTGTCTCCGGGCGGGTGACGTCGTACTCCATATACGTCGCTCGGTACACCACAAACGGCTCCAGCTGCTGTCGAGATATGAAGAGAACCTAGATGGCAAATCTTAAATGACACAAAGTCAGGAAAGAGTCCTTGAGTCTGGAGTGGGCTTAGAAGCAAACTGTTTGAACTATGCAAAAATGCCCTGGTGCTCGCCAAGCAGCGGTGTCTGGGCTCAAAATGTTATCAATGTTGGTCTTCAAAATGAACTTCCCTTTGGCTCTTCTGAAGGCAACGTTCTCGGCAGTGTGCTCGAAAATGGGGTGCGCCTGGCCAGGGCCGGTGGCAACCGCGCATCTGCAGCTTCTGCTTCCAACGTGTGCAAGGCGCAAGGCGCCTTGGCATGGGGCATCGACATGTGCACCGTCGTCGGCACTTGAATGATTCGGATGGGCACCGATTCCGCGCCGGGTTCCCGGGTGATCTCCTCGTGCATGAGCGGGGCTCCAAAGACTGGATTCCACTCCTCGCATGCGGCTCATGGAGTTGGCTCGCACTCGCATGCCTCAGAAAATACACCTGAACATTGCCTTGTAAATGGTGGTTTCCCTTTGTTGTGGAGAAAGCCATGTTTCAAATGGCTGCAAATGGAGATCTTTTAAGGAGCCCAACTCAGCGGCCTGCGAACCTTGGCCTTTAACGACGTGTTCCGAGGCGCCACGACGATGATCTCCGAGGGCACCTGCGCGGAGTGCAGCATGCGGCTGGTGGTGGCCAGCATGCGGTGCAGCCGCAGCAGCATGTTCCCCCCGTAGTCGTCGTTCCGGCACTGCACGATGACGGTGAGGTACAGGGAATCCTGAACAGATTCTTACCCGCAAATTAACGCACGCAGCAAATCTCTGGTTCTAGAGGTTCTTTTTTGGGAAACTCATACTTGCAGGGGCGTAGCCACTACTACTGGCCACCCCTAACATGCCACGGGATTGCTCGCAGGCGCGCTTCAGAGCATTTCTTGCTGGTTCTCAGCAGCGGGAGGGAAGAACCGCCATCCTGAATCCTTCGCGGGTTTCTGCAAGGACATCCCTAGGTTTATTCCAAACCCTGTGAGATTTCCTACAAAGAACGCAATACGCGTAGACATCACCCCATCCCATGTCCTCTTCGACGGCCCCAAGCGATCCGCCAGGCCCAACAGGCCCGGGCGCTTGGTAGCGCCGGCCTTCTTCCAGCTCTTGCTGGATGCTTCTCCTCGGCCACTCATGGTCTGAGGCGAACCCAGGAACTCAGACTTGGGAATGAGAGCAACCTTGAGAACCCAAATAAAGTATCAGAGGCATGCGCTCAGCTGGCGAAACTGCCGGCGCAAGAAAGCCCCATCTGCCCAAGCATCATCAGCCGCCAGATGGGCCATGGGCTCCTGAAGGGTCAAAGGTGCACTGGGGCAACTGCGCGGCGTGAAGAACAGCGGCGCTCCTCAGGAGGTCCTGACGATAAGCGTCGCGCAGCGCAGGCGCTTGCTCCACGTGCTGCAGCAACAGGCCCTGCCTCGGCTCGGGGGCTTCATCTGCGATGGTTGGCACCAAGTTCAGGCTGCATCAACCCCGGATGAATTACCCTGCTGCAGTATCAAAGACGGGTGTGCCGGTGTGCCCCCAGAAAGTGCAGGTGTGTCTTGGGTGCCTGCACTTTGTCGCGCAATGCAGGTTTGCCTGGCCAGGATTACACGGCTGTACACCCCACGCCGTCCCTGCTTTTCAAGCTCCCAAGCGGCGCAAAGAGGAGCGCGCGCTCAACGCGCTGGCTGTGCTCGCCACCCTCTGCACCAGCAGCAAAGGCAGTGATGTCAGCAGCCACCAGAAACCTGAGCACGGTCCAAAGCACCCGCTCCTTATTGATCTCTAAAACAAAGGCACGACTGCGCCAAGGCAGAAATTCCACGCTTGCTTTCTCCACCAAAGCCTTCCAAATCCTCAGGTTTTTGGAAAGCGGGACCTTGGAAGGAATCAAACTGCTGCAAACACGGCCCGGCCAACCAACCCACGCCGAGAAGCAGCGTTGCCACCCCCACGAGGCACAAAGGCTGCCCGCGCAGGTTTCGAGCAAAGAAGTCGGCCCATTTGAATTCCTGGCGATTCACCACCAGTCACAGGCTTTCCATTGTGGCCAAGTCGAATTGAGCTTGGCTTGGGGTGAGATTTGAGGCAAACATCAAGGGAACCCTGTAATTACAATCAACGACGTGGTTCATATTGCAAAAGCATGGCTGAGTCAGCCTGTGTTAGCTGGCTGCCATGGCGTGGACATCTGACCAACCAACACGTGATCGGCTATGACCGCTTAAGTGGGCCCCATGTCACCAAAGATGTCCCCAACGAACCTTCACCTGCAACACACAACATAGTACGCTCAATATATATTATTTACAGAATCGGGAAGGGGCTTCCCCGGCATGCGTGCAACCGGTGGCCGGCGACCACCCCACCTTACTGTAAGGGAAACACATGTCTAGGCAAAGATTCATCCCCAAGAGAAAATATTGGAGAAGGACCTCCAGCTGTCTGCTTGTTGTGGCCAAAAACTTCCCCTGTTCGAATGCCCTGACTCTGGACCTCGCCACCTTCTGCCCGAGCCGCGTTCTGCTCCAGCGGCAGCGTCTCGACACCTTCGAGGCTCCGCTCCAGTCGCTCCAGGAAGGCCTCGTCTGCACCGCTGGTGGCGGCCGAGCAGGGCGACGCCTCCGGCGAGCGCTAGGCATTTGTCAAAACAGGACACCAAAGCGCCCATCGCAGCATTGATTGGGTTGCGGCAGGCTTCAAATAAATGCTGAAACTCAAAAACGCGCGTGCCATCCGGGCTGTTTGCACCCTCCCCCCCCCCCACCTCCGGCCGTGCTGGGACAGCGGACAAAGCTTCCACCAGGGCATGGCCATCTTCCTCCAGGGAGACGCGTCAGCCCGGACAGCCCCAAAGCCCAGCAGTTGCAGCAACACACCTTCTATCGCCGGGTTGATTTGTCTGTGAGTTGCACCAGCAAGCCCTGGCTCAAAATCACGTACACCGCGCCTGAACCAGTATGTAGTCATTTCCTTGTACCAGCCAAAGACTATTTATCAAACAGGACCCCGTGTAAAAGAGTTGGAAATTCTCACTGGCCCAAAGGACCTACAAGCTTAATGTTGTTTCTTGGATCTTGACATATCTACAAACGCATGTTTGGGAGATCAAAAGGTCGGTTGTGAACGAGATCCATTTGCAGTCCTGGAGGAGGCTGGACCAGCTGAGCCTCAACAGCCACTCGGCCAAGGCGCCCTCATCTGCCCCTCCGTGCCCTTAGGACGACAGGTGCCAAGCTGTGCCAAAACCAGTTGGGCCACTGGAACATGTTGGTTTCCTTTCGTTTCCACTTCAACCCTCGAAGGGGGCACATATTTGGGCAAGCCGCGCAGCTGCGCAGCCGCATCCAGCACGGGAGTCAAGGATTTTGGCCTGGCAAGGGCCGGCATCTGCATCAGGAAGGCATCGATGTCCTCAAGGGCGGCCCCCGCGGAGAAGGTGAAAAGGCTACTTGTGAGCCACGATCACAATAAGCGGTTCCCATCAAGGACCTGATCATCCCAAAGTAAATTTTACCGAGACAGCTGATATTTGGGCCGAACCTCTTGTGCTTACTCCCTACCACACGAAGCCATACTCTCACACACCCTCATGCACGTGTGGGCAAGCGGAGGCATGGGTGCCACTCCCCCACTACAACAAAGATATATTATACAACTCCAAAAAAAAGAATGGCCCTCTACAAAACCACACACACTTGAACTCCAGATGGAGAATGCTCATCTTTCGAGTACAACTGATGAGTCTCGAGTACAACTGATGAGTCTCGAGTAAGATAAGTTTCGGCTCACGATGCACTCTGCTTCCCTCTAGTGACGAAAACGTTACCCGAAAGAACAAGAAGCACAAACAGCGCCGCAACCAAGGGGCCAAAAGACATTCAGAGATCACTTGCAGGTACGCATTGAGGCGTCCCCCAACGCTTCCGGCCAAACTTCCATAGCTTCGTTGGCGTGGCTAGGAAGATGGCTGCCACGCCCCCTGCTGCAACAGAAAAAGGTTTTGGTGGCAGGGTTTTCTGCCACTCCGCACACACACACACGCCCCTCTACGAGGGGCGAGGTTTCTCTTTTCTCCTGCAGGAAGATCACACGCTCAAACTCGAATCTCTATCGTTGACCAAAATATCCTCCACGGCGAGGGGAGCGAGACACCGCCCTAAACCGCTCAGAAGACGGGAACGAGAGATCACCACGTTGAGCGTTGCGAGTGTCGCCATAGAGGACTGAAGCGATTTGCGAAGCAGCCGGGCGATCACCATGAGAAAATGGAGTGGCGTATGTGAAGGTCTCCTCAACTGGAACGGCATCGGAGTTTCGAACTTGACCAAGAGATGGATCATGTGGATAGTGAGTTGCGAAGGACTCAATCCGAGACAGAATGCGCTGGTACCCTTGATGTTGCCAGTCACGGATGTCCCATGCCTGGACTGACGCATTGGGATCAGTCACCCGCTGCCATTCCCGAAAAGAATTTTCAGGTAGATCAGGTACGGCGTCACCGCGGTGCCATCGTTGAGGCTGTCCTGGAGTGTATATCCGCACCCACTCCTGATCCTGCCAGACCGAATATTCGAGCCATGGGTGCTGCTTTGAATCATCGATGTCCATGTTGAAGCAAGAGGCAAGGATTGTCGCGGGCTCCGATCCAGCTAATAGATGAACAGGCACCATGCGCAACCATGTTCAAACAACAACCAAGCAAGATCATGCAAGTGTAGAGACCACCCAGAGACCACCCTTATTTTGTACGCTGCGCTGCTCATGTGAGTCTAGTCCTGAGTCAGCTCGAAGACGGGACTCATCTTGTTTCCGCCACTGTCGGAAGGATTCACGGGCCGGTAGGGGTCGGAGACCCCAATCGTCTCCGATGGTGTGTTTCCACGCGATGCACGTACTGGTTGATGAGGATGGGAAGCTAGACGTGCGCGAGCCGTCAGTTGTTGAGAAATCCCCTCCTGGAGACGAGTCAGGTCTTCAGTAGAGAAATCAGCCGCATCCGAGGACCTGAGAATCGCGTCTGCTGCTCAGCGGCATGCCTCCAATGCCATGGGGGTAGCCCTGCCAGCGATGATCAGGGGACCATGGGATCAAACTCACTGACCAGCGTGAGGAGGCAGCGACTCTCGGATAGCCCTCTGTGGCCCGTGCTCGTTTGTACCACAGCCGGTAACCCGGACCTGCCACCGGCAGTCACCAGTTGGGCGCCGAACTCCCTCATTCTCTAAAGTATGCGGAAGGAAGTGGAAGCATCATGTTCTTCTGTGGCATCCATGGTCGGATGAATGGCGACCACCAGATCTGGTTTGAATCAGGCTGCATTCCAGCCGCATAGCGACAACATATGCGCAGAACAAGGTCGATAGATTTGTACGACGCAGACAACAACAGTGAAAGCCAGAAACAACATCGTAATGCAAGACCACTTTGTAGCATAACGGCTCCAGCATCAAGTCAGTGCCCAGATCGGGTAGACGAACAAATATACGAAGAAGGCGAGGACGGGCATCAGCCATCATGTGAATTGGATGATGCCGAGGAGGAGGTCAGTCCAGCATACATGAGGTCCGGTGCGCCCGAAGCGAAGACTGGCCTCGCGATGCTGGGGCGTGGACGACCCAGACGTTGGTATCCCCTGGTGACCCAGTCCCTGTAATACCAAGTATAGAAGGTTGCATAGGATACCGGTTGCGAAACAGTGCCTGTGGTGGTGCCGCCCGTACTTTCCCTAGGCCAATACACTTCGAAGTGGTGGACCTTGCGCCATTCCCGATAGGTGGTTGAGTCATCCGGGGCCGGTCCTTTGACACATTGGATGGCACTCTGATCCGCATGACCAGGCCATGAAACTGCCATGTTCCACATAGTTTCCCTTAGCATGGCCGGCGACGTGTCGCAGTCAAGATAGCGAGTGGGATGTCGTGTACCGCCGCGCTGTTGAGCGACCACCGACAAACGCCAAAGTCATCAGGAAAGCGGCGGATTACGCCAGAACGGCGTCTTTTCTAAACAAGATATGATGTAGACTCACTTACAAAGCAAGCACAACCGCATCTTTATCCAACATGCTACTCAAGTGTCAATCCGAATCATTCCAAGGTCAACCCGACAAGCTGCTCAAAGTTATCAAGGAAAGTGGCGGACACATAAAGACGGCATGCGCACCACCAAGCAAGACAACCCAATGTAGACTCACTTACAAAGCAAGCACAACCGCATCTTTATCCAACATGCTACTCAAGTGTCAATCCGAATCATTCCAAGGATCATGGAATGGTGGCGGTGACGGTTCCCGCCACGCCCCATCCGGCACCGACGAGCCCACCGAGGACTCGACGTCTGCGTTCACGAGCATCGCGAATCCGATGGATTGTACAGGAGGTCCAAGTCGTTGATACCCTCGTGTTTGCCAATCTCGGTACTCCCACACGTGGTAGGACACATAGGAACTGGGCGTGACTATGGGATCCATTGTGGTGCCTCCGGTGCTGTCTTCAGACCAATACACTTGGAAGTGATATGATCTGCGCCACTCCCGATACGTGGAAGCGTGAAGTGGATCAGGAACTGGCGCCTCATCGGGAACGGGTCTCCAAATGCCCGGAGAGTAAATTCGAATCCATTCCACTCCTCTATCGATCTGGTACTCGAAATACTGGGGGTTCATAGCAGCAATACAGGCTCACACGACTGCTAACCTAGTCGAAAGTCTGCGGCAAGGGCACACATGCATTGCAAACCGCACACATCCGCTGGAGAGTGAGGCAACTTTTCAAACTCAAGGAGAAACACAGCAACGAGGTCTGAAATGTCCGACTCCTAGGTTTCACTGTCGTTGATGTCGCGCACACCTGCAATGATAGTGTCCTGGTCGTCTGCGAGCACAAGGGGAAAGACATTTCCGCCCATGGCGCAGGATGGCATGACAGTAATGCTTGCAAGTTGCCGATGGGGACCGCGATGGACGGCCAGCACGTTTGGAAGAAAACACTGTAAAGGGCCGTCGAGATCGCCGCGGCGCTGAAGCTGATGCTGTCCGAGATCGTTTGGACGAGCGCCCTGGACTGCGTGGTTCTTCATCACGGGAAGGGTCAGTGCTGTAGATCGAGCGGCGTGTGCGCTGCGATTTCGAAGAGGTAGGGCAGGATTGTCCGCGAGGGGCTGAGATCGAGGGGCTGCGTACCGAGGGCATAAACTGCGGGTGTAGAATCACCGGTGGTGGTGGTGGTGGTGGTGGTGGTGGAGGAGGTGGAAGAAGCAATGGCAGACTTGGCGGAGGCGGAGGCGACGTAGTCAGCCGAATGGGTCTGTCGAGTAAAGCCCCGGGTCCATGAAATTGTAACCACGTCGGCTGCGCTCCATGGGTCCAGGTAATGTACGTCTGTACAACTTGTTCCGACATGATTTGAGCAACTCAGGCATGACTTCACTGCATGTCAACGACATCTCCCAAAACGACAAGCAAGATTAAGTCATGTGCAAGCAAGCAAATATCATGTGATCAACAACTCGAACCGGACCCACCGCCGCAGCTTACCATTTAGTCCTCCGATGGTCGCGGCTGCATTTGGCGACCGTGTTCCTAGCCGCGAGCCTCAAGTTGTTGATAGACCTTCCATGCCTGCTTGACTTCTTCAATCGGCTTCTGAAGAAACCGAGCTATGGTCTTATAGGTGGGCCTGGAATCCTTGTCTTTCTTCCGTCTCACCATTTCATCCAGCTCACCCTGTGTCCATGCCGTGAAAGGTTCACGGTATGCATTGCGAAGTGCAATGGTGAATTCTTGTAGAAGTTCCCTAGGACCATGAACCACCGTAGGTGACGGCCGGAACGACGAGGCACCTGGATGCGGACGTACCGAACCATCAAAATCCGAATCAGGTGTCGTAGGCGTCGTCCGTCCTGGCTCTGGGCCACCGTGTGCAGCGAAGGGAGCAAGTGGACGAGGCGGTGGCAGTCGATCCAACATAGATTCGGGCCGAGTACCAGGGTTGTGGTCACTAGCATCACGATGTGCCGCTCGAGGCGGGGACAAAGCCGGTATGTACCAGGTAGATGACGCGTCCACCGGTCGAGCCCGAATTCGTGTGGGGGATCGGGATCTGTCAGACGAGGCGCGCTCCGTGATGATGCGGGGCCGCAACCCATGTCTGGAGTTTCTTGGTGCTCTCGGGATCACCACCGGGTCTGACGGACGACCACGCTCCGTCAAGGCTTCAGGGTGTCCAAAGCTGTCGCAACTTGGGATGCAAGGACATTGAGTACAGCCACCAGGTTATTCACAAACTCAGCAGACAACTGCATGGCAACCGATCAATCAACAAGGTCAACTCAAGCAAAGCTGCAAAGCTATAACGCTGCGGCATGGCAAAGATATGGTGCATGCAAACATGAATGTAGCAAACGCTGAGGTACTT